AGTATCCTTCCTCTCGATTGATATTATGGGGATTTTTTCGGATCTCTAGAGATTCGCGGATTTTCCTGGAATAAAAGAAGGGGCTCTTAGAAATAATATGGGTTTTTTCGAACAATATGGAATGACTGGTTTCTTGGCAGTGTTCTGCAACTGAAGAATGGGAGAAAAGACCCGATCGAATGCATCTTTGATGCTCTTGAATCCGAGTTTTGACGGAACGACCAGTTTCGCCAATATACACATGTTCACATGAACAAGGAATAGAATAGACACCACAGGAAGATAGGGGCGGTAATGGGTCCTTAGGAGAGGGGGGTAGATATTGTGAGATTTTCTTGGGTGGTTGAAAAGTAGTCCTGATAACTTCTTTGCGAAGAATTTTGCCAATCCTATCAGTGACATTTCGAATATACGGAAGAAAAGCCACAGGAGTATTACCCGAAGATTCTGAATTTGTCGTCCTAGGGTGTAAAGGGGGATGTAGATCTCGGTGTGTAATATTTTGATTTGTTATGGGAATGCCTTTGTCTAGCAGCGGATGCAAATATACTGAAGAAGAATAATCACTCAGAATCACTAGTATCACTTTCACGATCATCTAAAGGCACATTTACTCCTTCGCTTCCGGAAGAGTATCCAGCTGGGTTGGGATCTGTAGGTAGCAGCATTTGCAATGTTTCAGATAAGAAACTACTTTTCTTTCTTTTTTTTATTTGCCTCCTACAACTCATCAAAGGGTCCGAACTCAAAAGTAGGCGATTGAAAATATCCCTGTTGCAGCTTTCTCTTGAAAATTTCCGTGCGAAATCTTGGCCATACGACCGGAAGTGCTTGTTTCTCGCTTCTGCGGCTTCTTCAGATAGCTGCCCAATTGGCAATAATGCATTTTTTATAATTATTGCACCATGCATGAGTATTTTGTGCAATGTGGGCGTCATGGGGTGCCACGGATAGAGATCTATATATAAACGAGCAGTTTCTTTTGCGTAAGTATCATATTTATCATGGTCAATTTTGTGACCGCTTGAAATAGTCTCCAAAATCACTTTTAGTCTGTATATTAATTCGAAATTAATACCTGTAATTTCTGAAGCAACTTGGGGATTCTCGAAAAATCTTCGGCTTGTATTTCCGTCATTTGTATTGCCGAAATTCGCCTTTGGCATGTCCACAAGCAATCCAGTTTCTTTACGAAATCTCTCCTGGATTTCTTTTTTCCTTTCTTTTTCCAAATGTTTTTCAGCTTCTGTTTTTCTTGCCCTATATTTTTTCACTGGCAATTTGTACGCCAAATGCAGAATACTTTCAAATACTCTTATTCTGGCATGTAATACAGAGAGTCCGAATTGAATTGCCCCATCATCAACACAGTTTGCTCTGTCTAAGTTATTGAAATCTTTTGAAGTAGCACCGCAAATATAACATCGACTTGTCGATGTAGTTCCTGTGGCAGCATTGCAGACCTTTCCGTCCACCATTGTCATTGTAAATTCATATTTGACTCTAAATTGTTGGCCACCTAAGTCAAAATCGGTTGCAATAAGCGAGTTAATAGAATTATTGACATAATCAATTTCTTCTTTAGTGGTATCACTGGTCTCTTTGACAAACCTAAACCTTATTGGCCGACAAAACCTAGGAGAAGAGGGTGTGGGGTTTTCCCATACAGTTTTTTCATTTTTTTGTCCACATACAAATTTTAAAGGAACAAAGCAGCTTTGAAATATATTGGAATCACTGTCCTCATCACTATCGAACTTTTGTTTGTACTGCGATTGCTGGGACCCATCACAGCCCCATTTGCAAATTAATTTTAGCGTTTCTCGTTATTTCTGTTTTAACGATAGTAAAACTTCTTCTAGGTACTCCGATAATCGTCTAACGGTAAGGTCGATCAAAGGCTGCAATTTAGCTTCCGCACTAGTGCTAGTTACAGTGAAAGCTTCAGGTGGCGGAAGTTTTTATTCGTGCTTCTTATTACATCATATTGTGCTCGTGTTAGGTCTGCGTCTATGAACATTTGGCTGGCTTCCTGGATAGTCAAAGGATTAATTTTATCTCTTAAAGACTTTGTGTGATTGTATGCCTTTTTATATTTTGATACGCGAGTTGGCGAACATATCATTCCTTTGAGTACATTGGAAGCGTCTCTCTTTCCTGTTTCTTGTAACTTGACTTGAGCAGCATGCACTAGAGTATCTTCGTCGAAGTTGGAGCGAATATCTTGTGTTCTCCTTCGTTTACTTCTTTCACTGAGATCTCCAAAAGTTTTATGAGGTCGTCCTGGCCGATTTGCCGTACTATCGGTAACAGGAATCGCAAAGGTCCCCTCGAGCCAAGAATCGTTATATTTAAGAAATACATCTTCTCTATTATGGGCTTTCGTCCATCTTTTCTTTATTTCTGACTTGAAATGCGCAAAATTACTTTTCAGTATTCTGATTTGGTCATTAGTGTAGTCTTCATTAGACAAAAGTTGATTTTTTAAACAATTTAGTTTTTCTTCTAAATTAGGTAAATTTTCATTTCTCATAAGATCGAACAAGTATTTCCTGGTTACAATCTTCATCCCAGATGTACCCCCTGAACCTAAAACAAATAAATATTTCGTTTAAGGCAAAAACAGATAAAGAATATTTTTGGAAAATTTAAGTCCTTAATTCTCTCATTACCTTATAATTTTCAAAGTACAAAATTTTTAATCATCCGGGATTATCCGTGGCAAATTCTTTGACTTTCTAATAGCTATAACATTGAATTATACATAGTAATAAAAATAATTGCCCGATCTATTCCGATAGAAATGAAAATCTACCACACAAAAAATTTTTTTTGAGAAAATTTGGATCAAAAACAACTTATTTTCAGAGCTATAAAAGTAAATTAATAAACCAATAAATCAAATAGATTTTAATATATATTATAAGCTACTAACCTCTTGTTTGAGAATCCATGATTTTTTTCTACACAAACAAACTTAATAAAGTAAAATATCACTTTGTAAATAACGTTTATAGGAGCGCCGAGAACCGATACACGTGCACGAGGTGCTAAGATCTAATTCAGACTGACCGTGCACAAATGTGAGTGGAGGTCAGGGGTCGGAAGGGCTTGGGTACTATTCTCGGAAGGTTCTTTTACCTCAGGCATATATTTTCGTAGACGTATTTATTTTTTTGAAAAATCGACTTTTGGCCGCCTAAATCGTTCAAATACCCCTATGTCGTTAATTCTGGCCGCATGGCATGTTCAGTTCCACCTAAGCCATGCGCCCTATGAGATCTGTGACGCATGTCCTTCTTATTTCTTCGTTTCTAACATTGTCTTTAATTAAGAGTCAATCAAAGTAGCGAGCGTTCGATTTTTATTTGAGCTAGTGCTTGGGAAGATAAACAGAAATCATTAGAATGAAATAAACCGGCAGACATATGCTTTGTGGACCTTAGGAAGGCATTTTGTCGGGTCAAATTAAAGGACGTTATCCACTTATTATACGCAAAAGAAATACCTCTGGGAATAATCAAAAAGATCGAAAACTAGAAGAAGAACTAACTAGCCCTATTAAAGCTGACAATAAGATAAGACTGAGAGATTCCCTCAGTCCTCTATTTTTCAACCTGATTATGACGAACTAACAAAGAAAGTAAGAGCGAGCTTAAAAAGGATATCAAGTGGGAGAAAAAAAACTTAACATAATCTGCTATGCAAGCGACGCGATACTCTTCTTTCAGATTGAAGATGATCTACAACGTATGCTGCACCAATTTAATATAACCGTCAGAAAATTTAACATGGTAATTTCTACAAAAATGACAAAATGCATGGCTATAACAGCAAATTTACTAAGATGTAAATTGGAGCTGGAAGGTAAGATATTATAACAAGATGGAGTACAGCAAACAGAGTCTCAGATTGCCTGAATGAAACAATATGGAGAAATAAATATATCAAGAAATAAATGAAAGACAGAATTTACGAAACAGTCATCAGAACAATAATGACAAAGACGGGAGAGAAACACGACCTGATACAGAGAGGACAAAAAGGCTGTTAGAAGTAGCAGAGATAAAAATACTTAGAAAAATAATAATTAAACACTATGGTACAGAGCTAGAGGTACAGATATACGTCGTAGATGCTAGTGGAAAATATCAAGAGCTGTGTAAAAAAATGAGAAGTAGAATGGAACGATCTTATAAGCCGAATGACATCAAGTAGACTACTAAAGACGGCAGGCGACGGTTTCCCAGTAGGAAGAGGATCAGTAAAAAACCACATAAACGATAGAATGACAACTTTGTGGAGGCACATTGAAAAACGGACAAAGTCATTTCTACATAAAAAGAAAAAGAAGAAGTAGTCATATTTTTAAACGAATTCCTATTCCATTGCAGTCGATTTTCGCTTGCTACTAGATTTGTCATGTATTGCATCTTTCCAAAATTGATGTTCAAATCGACTTCATTGCAGGCGGCATCTAACTCAGTAAGCATAGTTTCAATCTCTTTCAAGTTATCTATATCAGAAGAATGTCGGCCGCAAATCGTAGGTGGGGAAGCGTTTTGCGTCGACATTGATTCCTTTGGCTAATTGCATACTTGATATAATATTTTACTATAAATGCTAACTAGCTGGTGCGTTTCGATCCAGTACGAGTCTTCTCACAAGTCTTCCTGATGAAACGTAAATCTTAAAATACCTGTAGAGAAATGGTGAGACTCCAGTTGTATCGAATATATATTATGTATTCAGTTCTAGTTATGTTTAGCCAGTTTATTATCTTATATGTTTCAGGTATCTTATATATTTCAGTTTCAGGTGGCCAGGTAAATGAAGATTTGCCGTCTATTCGACACTACGTTTCGTCTTTTCTTTTTACTTTACTCTAAAATAAAAGCCGAAAATGTAACGTCAGAAATTAATTATAAATATCCTATTTCCATCTAGAAAATATTAATTAATAGGTTTTTTAATATACTAAATATTTAATAATATTTCAGAGAAGAAGGGGATCTACCCGTCAATCCATCTTTATACGACATGTTCGGCGTAGGTGACGACCAAACTGAGTGCTGGGAAATCCGTTGCATAGTCAACATTAGCAGAGGCTTCGTCATGGGATACTTGAACGGAAAAGTCCACTTTTACGAAAAAGAAAACTCCAACAAATATAGGAAGCGGGGCATTTTCAGAATCCCGGACAGAACCGTCCGTAGAGAATACGAAGAAGAGCCGGAAGTCATAACCACGGTGAACAGCATCGCAATAAATCCATCTCAGGACAGGTTGGAAACATTTTAGTTATTTCTATTTACGGTTAAACGGCCGTTATACACACATCCGTTTTGTTGACGCTTATAGCAGCGACAATAATATGTGTAAAGCTTTTTAAAAAAAGGTCGTATATTTCAATTTAAGGCGTGGTAAGAAAAAGAGAAAAATATCGTTTTATGGTTAAATTCTTTCTAATAAATTAAATTACGACTTAAGCAATTTAGCAATTTGTCATACATAATAATTTTAACAAAGGATTTATGGTTTACAATCATACGCAGATTTATTACGAGAGCCATTTTTGCACTTACACATCTAGATAATATTTGATGAAACTCTATATATATATATATATATATATATATATATATAATATATATATATATATATATATATATATATATATATATTCTGCCGTTCCAAACTTCACTAGACATTTCAAGAACTTTCGATGTCACCTTAAATGTTTTCGAACTACTTCTTCTTTTTCGTCAATGGACTATTCCTATGTGGGACAAATCTTTCGTAACACTGCTTCCTCCTTTAATTAGTCCAGTTTAGATAGTCCAGTTATTCGCCTCGAATAACTGGACTATCAAGGATCGATTGAAGCCAACGGGGTGGATCAGTTCGATGGTATGGAGCTAGTCTCTCGATATGAACTACCTTGGGTTTACTTCTAGTTGAAAACTGGATTCGATAGATTAGATCATTTATTTTCTGCAGGACGGTATACGGGCTTTCCCAGTTTCGTTAAAGTTTCGGACAAAGTCCTTTCTTACGTGTGGGATTGTATAACCATACAATCCCACAATGGGTCACCTTTTAATCATCCCCTTAATCTTTAATGACTGAAATCTTTTCTGGATCAATTTTAATTCCTTCTACTGAAACGATATGTCCTAAATAGTATGCCTATCTTTGAAATAGTGAACATTTCTTATAATTTAACTTTAAATTGGCATTTCTCAATCTGTCAAATACCTCGCTTAAATTTTTCAGATGTTCATCAAACGTTTTGGACATAATCATTTTATCATCAAGATATACTAGATACGTTTTCCAGGTAAATCCTCTTAAAATCATCTCCATTAGACGTTTAAACGTAGCTGGAGCATTACACAGACCAAATGGTAGAACCTTAAACCTGTAGAGACCACGGTCAGTTGAAAAAGCTGGTCTCGATCATGAGGATGTACTTCTACTTGCCAGTAGCACAATCTGCACAATCATTAGATATGTAATGCTACAGGTAAGAGAGAGCAGAAAGAGAAACACAATTAGGTATATAGGTATCTGGTGCATCGTTTGCTGTATATAAACATTTGACCTGTAATATTAGTACAGTAAATGAATGATTGTATCAATATTTTGATGAAAATGTTATTTTTATTTTCATATATGTATAAAAGGAGAGACAAATGTTGGGTATATCACTTAAAGATAGAAAACGTAACCAGTGGATGAGAACCAGAACAAAGACAGTAGACGCGATAGAACAAGCAGCAAAACTGAAGAGCAAAACCGTCTCCAAGACGGACGATTGAACAATGCCATCGGAAAGTGGCGTCCATACAATGCAAAGAGATCAAGAGGCAGACCACAGATGAGGTGGAAAGATGATATCAGGAAACAAGGAGGTCCCACATGGCAGAGAACAGCTCAGGATAGAAAAAGATGGAGAGAACTGGGGGAGACCTATATCCAACAATGGAAGGATAGGGAATAGGTCCAAAAAATAAATAAATAAAAGGAGTAGAGTGCAATAAAAATGTTTACACATACTCTGCTGTAAAATTCATTGTTTATTTTGTTAATAATATAAAAATGCAATACAATACATTGCAACATAATTAAATATAATAATGGGATACAAATTAAAATCCAATATTCATAACTTACTTATGCATATATTTAGTTTACCGTGATAATTATATTAATAATATTAATAAATATTAAATATATTTACAAAAGGAACATTTTTATTCTCGAGAGAGAAAGAGAGAGAAAATATATCTTCTGTCTCTCTCCTACCTATATCTTAGATATGTACCTAATGATTTTGCCGATTCACTACCGTACAAATTTCCAACGTCGAACGTGCGTATAGAATTATAACTTCAAAAATCTGAAAATAATAATTAAAAAAATATATTCCCTCATTGGGATCGAACCCGCAACTTCTGGTTCTAAATACCGCACTGCAACTCATTCTACCAATAACAATAATAAGGTGGATAATCAAAGTCAATATTTGACAAGAATATTAGTTAAGCTGTCAGTGGTTGTATTTTGTGTTTGTGTTTATTTATTTATTGTATTTACAAAATGGAAAGGTTATTACGAATCATAGAAGTTGTAGGAAGAATATTTATTTGTAAAAGACTTTGACCAAATGTATATATCTACCGAATTATTATAAAAAATATCTTATGCTTGTTAAATATTGTTAAATTAAACTTATTCTCGAGAGAGAAAGAGAGAGAAAGAAAATATATCTTCTGTCTCTCTCTCTTACCTATATCTTACATATGTAATGTTTTTACCAATTCACTCCCGTACAAATTTTCAACGTCGAACGCACGTATAGAGGTATAACTTCAAAAAATATTAAAATTTAACTGAAACCTGTAGAAGAAAAACAATATTTATCTTTTATTTATTCATGTTATTTTTTACGTACTTGCAGAATTTTAGTAACTTGTCGAGAGATGCAGTTATGGAGTGAACGTTTATTTGTTCACGATAAATTTACAGGGCCGGAAGTAGACTTAGTAGATTTTGGATATTCAGTTCATTTGGGAAATATTGGAGGACTGTCGGTTTGTAGATGGAAACCGATTGTGTTAAGTATAGGTACAGTATTATTTCTATTTCTATTTTATCATACCCATTTTATTTTTTTTTTTTAATTTTTAGTGTTTATTATCAATTCTTATAGCCTATGCATCTCTTATCACAAATATATCATACTTTTACCGCCTGCAGCCGCCAGCTTTCAAAATATTAATAGAAATGAAAAATAAAAAAAAAAGAGGTTAATCTTTGTAAATGGGAATATTTATTTAAAAAACCCTTAAAAGGGCCACATCAATAAAACAAACGTTTTCGGACCACACAGTCCATCATCAGGTTTTTAAAATCGAAAAATGCTAGGTCACAATGCCTGAGCCACCAAAATACTAGGGTAAAAACCCTTTAAATTACATTTAGTTATGAAATGTTGTACATTTTGTTGTAAAATAACTGTGATGTTCAGTATTAAATTAGACTATAGGTAACACATGGCTCAATCTGGTTCCAGAGCCGGTGAGAGGGAACCTCTGCACTCGGAGAATTCCACGGAGAGTTCCACGCTGTTCTCCGAGTGCAGAGGTTCCCTCTCACCGGCTCTGGAACCAGATTGAGCCATGTGTTACCTATAGTCTAATTTAATACTGAACATCACAGTTATTTTACAACAAAATGTACAACATTTCATAACTAAATGTAATTTAAAGGGTTTTTACCCTAGTATTTTGGTGGCTCAGGCATTGTGACCTAGCATTTTTCGATTTTAAAAACCTGATGATGGACTGTTGTGGTCCGAAAACGTTTGTTTTATTGATGTGGCCCTTTTAAGGGTTTTTGAAATAAATATACCCATTTACAAAGATTAACCTCTTTTGTTATACGTGGTATACAGCCAGCTACAGGAATTTTTCCTTGTGGATTTTTTTAAATGAAAAATCACTAAGGAAAAACCCCAGTGGTTGGCTGCATACGATAATTAAAAAAGTTAAAAAGGAAGTTTATAATTAATGAATTAATTAATTATTAAAGTAAAAATTATCAATTATTCTTCTTCTTCAACTGCCCCGTCCGTTGCGAACGTTGGCTATTAAAATGGCAATTCTGATCTTGTTTGTGGCGCTTCTAAATAGTTCGACCGATATGAGCCCGAACCACTTCCGCAGATTTTGGAGCCACGAGTGTCTTCTCCTGCCTGGCCCTCACTTACTGACTATTTTTGTCTGGACAATCAATTGCAGTAGACGGTACTTATCGTGTCTCAATATGTGGCCTAGATATTCAAGCTTTCTTTGTTTAATTGTATTCACGATTTCTTTCTTCTTTTCGATTATTTGGATTACCTCTATGTTGGTAACATGTTCTGTCCAAAATATACGAAGAATGCGTCGGTATACCCACATTTTGAATGCTCCTAGTTTTCTCGTGATCGTTTCCGTCAACGTCCAGGCCTCCACACTATACAGTAAGATCGGAAAAATGTAGCATTTTTCATATTGCTAAATGCTGCTCTAGCTCGTTCTATTCTCGCCTTAATTTCTGTGGCCTGTTCCCATTTTGCGTTTACGTTAGTGCCAATTTACACATAAGATTCTACATGATCAATTAGTATGTTACTTATCCGAAATTGTCGAGCAGATTGTTGCTTTTTGCTTATCAGCATCCACTTTGCCTTCTTGAAGTTGAGGCTCAGGACGTATTCCTCACTAACTAAATAAACTCTTTCCATTATCTGTTGTAATTCGTCTATGGTACTGACAAGGATCACCGTGTCATCGGCATATCTTATATTGTTCGTTTTAAGTATCAATTAAAAAATCAATCTTTAGTGTTAATTGGTGTTCAATCTACCACGTAATTATTTAACAAGATACTTCATATCCTCCATTGACGGATAAACAGTCAATAAAAAGTCGAATCAACCAACATTAATGTTCTAATGTATATACAGAATAACCAATCAGCATATATTTTTATGGGAGAAGCTATTACACCAGTTCAATAGTTAAAGTGCATATTAAATATGACTTTTTACGAAATAGTAGTCACAGTAAATAATTGGAAGCATCCATTTACGTGGACCGTTGACAGGGGTGACCGTTATATATATGTAAACTTGTTTAACTTAATTAAAATCTATAAAAATAATAAATAAATAATAAAATTACTATAATTATTATATTTTAAACGTATTGTTTAAATTTTAAAAATATAAAAAACATGATATGAAGCTTCGCGCTAGTCGACAATACTGCCTACTGTATCACTTTTTACTTGTTAGCTTACTTAACTGTCAAATTGTCACTTGGTAATTTAATGGCGCCTGCGCATGTATTTTTCTTGCTGGACGGTATCATAAAAAGATCGTGTACAGCAAGTAAATAATCGTCACAAATAATCGCATTTTTTTTGGTTGATTCACAAGTACACTGGCAAACAATACATACCGAAACAATTCTCAGATTAAACTAACTATTTTATTGTTGTTTGTATGGTTTACTCTTAAATAAAATAAAGTACGTAGGCTATAGTTTAATTATGTATACCTACTTATAACTTATTTGCGTTTTAAAAAACTGCTGATTCTTTCTTATTTTTTTTACTTTCCTTTATTTTAAAAACATATATAATTATACTCCAGTCGTTAGAGACTAAAATGCCAACTTTTACCTCCAGGGCGTCCCCCTAAAACCCCCCGGGCATGGGGGTAAAAATGCTCGATCGATCGAAATACCAAGAATCCGTACGCCGTAGAAAAAAATGTTTCAAATAAAAGATATAGCTGAGATAATTTTAAACAAAAATGTTTTATTAGCAATTTTTGTGTAGAATGAACCGTTCTCTCTCAAACAACGCTTGAAGCGACCGTCGATTGTGAATGTCAGTTCACTCGTATATATACTCACAGTATATCAACTCGACCTAGGTATACCTAAGAAATACATCAGCCTCATAAAAATGACGTTGCAGGGTTCAAAAGCCGCAGTCAGAGTAGATGGAGAACTGACTCCCCTGTTTAACATCAACATGGGAGTAAGACAGTGAGATGCCCTATTAACCATGCTATTCAACCTAGTTCTTGAGGCAGTCATCAGAAAAACCAATATAACTGGCCATATAAACACCAAATCAGTACAAATTACTGTATATGCAGACGATGTAGCCATCATTAGTAGGAATAAGCCAGGACTAATGGAAGTGTTCAAACAAATTGATCCTGAAGCAAGAAAAAGAGGTCTCAAAATAAACGAAGCAAAAACTAAGTATAGGACAGTCAAAAGAATAACTGACAATAAAAATAATATCACAATAGACAACTATACTATCGAACGAGTGGATGTCTTTACATATCTCGGCACAGAAATCAATCAGAAGAACTCCGTAAGTAGCGAAATTAATGCACGTATTTCCAGCGGGAATCGTACATACTATGCTAATAAAAGATTGATGACATCAAAATTGTTAGACAAAAGAACCAAAATACTACAGAACACTGATTAGACCCGTAGCACAGTATAAAGAGGTTCCACAGTAAAACTACTCGTCTGTCGGCACTTTGATTTCAGGAAGTAATACCGGCAAAGTACGAAATTGGTAATCCACCACTGTTAACCTTACAGAGCCGTATTAAAATTTTCTGAGCCTACTACTATTAATTTATTTAAATAAAAAATGCGGCTTCCCATATTTAACTGTCCAGATGTTCTTACTAAATGTTAATATTACAAAAACAAAGGGTTTAATAAATTAAAAACAATATTATAATTCATTGTTTATATTTTTCAACGGTATTTTAAATATCAACGGTATTGCGCAAGTTTTAAAATCTCAATGGTTTTTAATTGTGTCCTAGTAAGGACGTGAGGAGTCAGATCAACAAAGCATCTGAATTGTCAGGATGTCTGCCAGAGATAGTCTAGTAAAATCCATTTTTAAACTATAAGTAAATACAGTGATCAAAGGAGAATGAGTTAATGCGTTTTTAAGAAAATTATGTCCAGTGTTATCTGTTACACAATATTATCCACTTTCAGTAACATTTAGGTTGTATGAATTAGAAATCAGTCTTAAGAATAAGAAAAATACTTCGCCGGGAATAGGAATATATGTACGTTATATTATGTTGAAAAATTTATATCAAAATAGAAAAAGAACACTATTAAATTTTTTTAAATCAAGAACAAATCAAATCAGAAGATATTTCAAATAGTTGGAGAGAGTACCGGGTGATTCCTATTCCTCCTAAAAAAATGAGGAACTTAAACAATATATGGCAAAATAGCTCTTGAAATAAATATAGAGCTGCATAAGAATTTATTATATTATAGAAGTAATTATCAAAAAAATACATTATAAAACTAAATTATGAATTACTTAACTAACTAAATTATCAAAAAATATAAAAAGGATTATTTATTAGAAATTAATGTTAATATTAGTTTACGCATAAAATTGTATACAAAACATGACTGATAAGTAAAAACAAAAATTAAAATTTGAGAATGGATTTAGTGTCCGCAGTTATATAAACCCAAACAAACAACACGTTTTAAAGTAATTATGTTTCCAAATTATTTATTTCCTATGTCCTTTTGTCTTAGATACTTTAAAATTTCTATTAATTATTTTTAATGTGTAATATATTCTTATTCTAGCCTATAATCTAATGGGATAGCCCTTTGGAAAATTGCTGCAAGGATGCGTATATGGTATTTTTTCGAATAAGCTAACGTAGTTTTGTAAGATTTTCGGTTGATGACTAAAATTTTGAAAATTCTCTTGAAAAACAATTTCCAAATCTGTAACATACTGCACAAAATTTTGGCTCGGCATATAGAGCTTGCCAAAAACGTTTGTTTCATTACCACTGTAGGCTTTAACGTAACAAAACAGAGACGAATCGTGTAGTTCATCGTACTCTCTCCCATATGCTTCACAGATTAGACAAACATGTTTCCTAAGACTTGTGAATATATATATATATATATATATATATATATATATATATATATATATATATATAATATATATATATATATATATATATATATATATATATATATCACATATACATATATATCTTGTGAAGTTTTTCTGTAATTTATTTGAAGTTTGTTATTTTTTGTCATCCAAAGTGTTTTTCAGGAACCAAAGCAGGGGTTTCAGGCAGATAATCGTCGGTACATATATCACTTTCATATTTTCAAAATTGTTAGGAGATATATGTAATTCGGTAAATTTTGGCGCTATACGTATAGGATATTGTTTATCATGTTCGTAAAATTTTTTAATATATTCCCAAGAAACGATATCATCAATAACAAATTTGTTTCTTAGGAAGTTATTATGAAGTGCTCTTAATAAATGAGGTGTATCAAAAGAAAAGACAATTTTATTATTTTCATGATAAAAATATGGTATATCGGCAGATATATTTAACAAATTTGGAAGTTTAAGATTATTAATACCACTTCGAATTTTAACTCATGTTCAACTTCACAATACTAACAATTATTCACAAAACTAACTCAGTTTAAGCAAAATACGGCACTGTTAACCCGCACGTTTCTACGCGACTAGCAACGGAAGAATGGTTCTCGAGCGACTAAGAAATAAGCGCAGTCGCTCTGCGCGTTGACAGACTTTACTTCCAATTTTTGAGAGAGTGGTTCTACTGTGGAACCTCTTTATACTGTGCCCGTAGTAACCTATGGATGTGAAACTTGGGTAATGACGAAAAAAGATGAAGCCCAACTCAGGACATTCGAGAGAAAAATACTGAGGAAAGTATATGGCACGGTACAAGAGGAAGATGGCACATAAAGAATCAGGAGAAACGACGAGGTTAATGAGTTAAATGAAGGTTATGACATTGTAAGATTTGTGAAAAGTCAAAGACTGTCATGGCTGGGACATGTGCAGAGACAAAACGATGCAAAAACAACAAAGAAAATGTTACAATGGAAACCCATAGGAAAAAAAAGGAAGGCCCAGAACAAGATGGTTGGATGACGTGGAAGACGACCTGAAAACAATGAACATAAGACAATGGAGAAGAAGGGCACAAGAGAGATCTGAATGGAAGGACATAGCCAGACAGGCAAAGACCCATCCAGGGTTATGATGCCAAAAGAAGAAGAATATCAACTCGACGGTAAAAATTCGATATCTTTTGATTCAAGTGCTCTATTGACAAAAATCAAGATTTATTTGAAAATAATGTAAAAAAAAATCAGCTTTCGTATTAAATTTTTGTATTTTGGCGCAAGTAAACTTAGATTTTATAAAGGTGTAAAATAAATAAACGTGGCGCAATTTTTGCCATTTTTTAGTATTGTCATGAGATAAGTACAATATATTCCTTTTATTGAGTGACCACTATAAAATTTAAATTACTGGAGCCTAACCTTCAAAACCTATAGCATGTAATTTTAGTTCTGAGTTTTGGCAACAAATATGAGACATTTGAAATATGTTTAAAAAAAATGCTGGACTTAAACTTACACATAACAAACAATCTAAACCGTTTAAAAACTTTTTTTTTAATTGAACTAGTACGTTTTTCAAAAGAACTAAACTTCTGCTATAAACTACATTTAAAACTGTCTTCTTTGTGACATTTTCCGATCTTTTGAAATGTAAAGCATTAAATTCTGCGTTTTTTATTTATATTTCAAATTCCTCATCTTTATCGTCACAACTCAAAATTAAAATTTATTTCATATAAGTTTTAAAGATTGATTTCTAAAAATGGAAATTTTACTACGACTAGTCAAGGAAAGTGATCAATTTTATTGATCTCACGGGAATCGTATAAAATGGCAAAAATCGTGTCACGTTTATTTATTGACATTTTTATAAAAACTGAGTTTCTTCGCGGCAAAATGCAAAACCTGTATACGAAAGCTGCACTCTTACCTTTAACAGGTTGAGCGCCCTAGCATACACCGGTGTCTGTTCTGGTACTTTCCTTCCGGGCCATGGCAGACACCGGTGTCTGCTCTGTATCTGAAACTTTATCGATCTGTACTGGCCAGACAGACACACTTTAACGCGTTTTAATATGCTAGCATGTCTGACGTGGCCCAGAAGAATAGTGATCTGATGCTGAGTTTTTAGTAGCTGTTTTTTTTTAATTTTTAAAGATACGTGGGAAATATAGTAGATAAGCTTTTGTAAAACAGTACAGAATTTGTGCAAAAAAAAAACAATAAAATGTGTTGACATTAGCTGCGCTTTTCGTTTGTTGGTTTGACTTAAACAACTCTGTGTAGTAATATAGACGTTCTACCTACCTTCAGAAGCATCACCAGAGTCTTCTTTTCAATGTAATACCATTTTCACCATCATTTTTCCACGATTCGTCATTTTGAACAGTACATGCACCTGTTTATCACCACGTGCAATAACAAACTAACCTAATTTACGTCGAGGCAATGTGTATGAGCGGTAAAATTGCAAGATCGGATATCGAATCGGAACATTTCGACGACACTTTGGATCGACACAAGTGCAAACGGCTGGGCCGGTGTTGGTCCACGTGGAAGTTTTGGCTTTTATGCATCGGCGCTCAACCTGTTAAAGCGCAACTTGATTTTTGTCTATAAAACAGTTGGATCAAAAGATATTGAATTTCTACCGCAGAGCTAATAAAAATTTTATTTAACATTGATTTCGCGCACGTAACACATTCAAAATCGACGGTCGCTTCAAGCGTTGTTTCTGAGAGAACGGTTTATTATACACAAAAAATGCTAATAAACATTTTTGTTTAACATTATCTTAGCTACATGTTTATTAAAAACATTTTTTTCTACGGTGTATAGATTCTTGGTAAATAGATTTGTTTGCCTTTTTACTACCCTTCGTTGGGGGTGGGGGGTTTAGGAAGAAGGCAGAGAGTAAAAGTGGAAAACTATTGTATCTGTTTTGGCGTCCCGAAATTAATATTCTTATCAAAATTCAGCTTGTTCGTATGATTTGTAGAGATCAACTTTCTGAGAACTGGACCAATACTAATAATGTAATTCTACTGTTTCTCAATCTAATTCTGTAGTCGACAATCGCCCTATTTAGTGTCCGCAGTTATGTTATAAAGTCTTAAAAGTAATGTTATGCTTTTATTGCATATGTTTAAGGTTGCCGAGACAGATCAGTAAAAATTTGGAATTACGAAACGTATGACGTAGAATTGGTACAAATTTTTGAAGATGATATATATTCAGTGTCTCTGCATCCTACTGGACTCTACACCGTTATAGGATTTTCTGATAAACTTAGATTTATGACCATTATGATAGACGAAATTGTTTTGACCAAGGAATTTAGCATAAGAAATTGCGAGTGAGTATTGTAATGGTGTAACTTTAGTATATTCTTTTGATTGCATTATTTAACACTTTTTAATTGTTGGGTAATATTTGAAATTAAATAAAGTGTTTTATTAAAGAAGTAATTTTTTGTTGTTTTGTTCTTTAAATAATGTTTCATAGTTCTCATGCTTTCTTCTTTTCATTCATCCTTATGACTTCCAGCAACTATTTATTATTTAACCAGGATTATTTATTTAAGTTTATTGCGTATTTATTTCATCCAATTTTTCGGCCTGGCTTCATTGCCCCCAATTTTGAATCATCTTTTCTCTTTTTGTCCAATTTTCTTTAGTCTCTTCTTGTTTTACCCGCATATATAGTAGATTGTAGAACTATTGTATTACTACGACAGTTGAGTAAGATTTATTCCATATAGATAAAGTCGCTTGACATAAAAGAATAAGCATTAAAAATAGTTAAAAGAGGTTATTAAGTGGCTTAAAAGAAATATTAAGTAGTTGTTGATGGTTAATACAAGATTTACTGAATTTAATAAAGAAATGAATACGTCTGTTCGTTCCACATTGTTTTTTAACAATGGAAGAGAAAAAGAGTAGCATAGGGAGGTGAAGGAGAAGCGTAGACAAGAAGAAGAAGCGAAACGTAGGCAAGACGAAAAAGAGGTGCAGTAGGAGAAGACAAAAAGAGGAGGAGAAAGTGGAGAAGCGTAGAAAAGTAGAGGTAGAAATCATAAATGGTTTATTACGAATTCACGGAAATTTTAACTTAGAGATCTTCCATCTTTTCAATGATTTTAAATCGGCATGATAGTTTACTACAAATAAATTTCATGAAGCTATTCAGAGATATTATTTTGGATTTTAAACATCAGTGATTTTTATCAGATGTAACATTATTAAGTGCAGCAAGAGATCTGCATACCTTAGAAGTTTCATGTTTATTTGGTCCGATCCTTCTTTTTTTAGTTTTAGATATTGTAATCGTTTTCATAAGCTTTTGCTTTATGATATGACCAATTTTATGTATAGCTTAGTCTTTAAAGCCAACTTCTATACAACTGCTCAGCTTATGCCACAAAACCTCCTAGTGTTCTGTGTTTGTTGTATGTTTCGCATTTTGTTATATGATTTTAACAAAAGTTAGTCTCTCATGTATATCATGTTTGATTTGATACTGTTTTTTTAAGTAAATTCCATGATTGCTGATGTAGCGGTGCGCACCTAAGGCTAATTCAAGATATTAAAAAAACTTAAAACATTTCAGTTGTTAACTTTTTAAGATACATTTAAAGGGCCTAGGTATATTAATAGGGGCCGCATTCAATGAATGAATAAACAGTAGAATATAGAGAGGCAAAGTTTACAAAGTGTAACGCCCACAATTACCCGACCTATTTGGCTAATGGTGCGCATATGTCGGATACTTAACTGTGCGTAAAAATAGAACTTAAAATGATCTAAAATGTAGTTTCTTGAACATAAATAATAAAGGTACAAAGAAATATACGGAAATATATATGAATCCAAGTTCCAATATATTTAAAAAATTCAAGCATCACAGGAGTCACAAATATATTCTTCTGGACTATCCTCTTCAGTACACATGGCATAAGCCCATTGACAACATATCGAACACTTGTACTATACCTCGTCTTTTTTCCTACCATCACCATATAATACACAAAAGTTATTTTCATCTGACACGAGACTAAATTCCAAAATTTTTCTTTTTGTACCTTTTTTCAATTTTGTGGTTTTTCCTTTGCCTCTTTGTCCATTTTGACGCTTGTTTAAACTATATTGCCCTTATTTTCTTTTTTTAATTTCCATCTCAAGTTTGTCTGTGTTTTTTAAGGCATTTCTATTATTATCTGAGATTTTTGTTTCCTCCGACAAGTATTTTTTATTTGGAATGGTTTCGGAAAAGGACTTACATTTTCTAAAATGCTGCTGCTAGATGCTCTTGGAATTGCAGCATTATTATTTTTGATATTAGAGACTTGAGTTTAGTTGTCGCTGAAATAGGTAGACAAAAGCTTCATCATCAATTAAACAGGTAAATGATAAGTTGCGGCTATAAATTCATCATTCATGAATTTATTTTTTGGAATGGCCAGATGGCACAAAGTCTAATTGTGCTTTATTTATTGTAGCAGTTTGCACATATGCTTTAATAAATATCCCGGCTAAATCATATTGAGGTAACCTCTCTGCTGTCAATAAGTTATAGTCGCAATATCTGTCGAACGCTGATTTGAGAGGACCAAAAAAGTTACATCCAATGGTCGAAGCTTGTGTGAAGTGAATTATGAATTTCTTTGAAAAAAATACTTTTTAAAAAGCACACTCAAAATAAACTTTTATACACTTTTTATGTACACTAGCAAAGATTTTAGTTACAATTCAAAATATATTATTCAGACTTCAAATACAAATATGTTAGATTAATATCACACTAATGTCAGACTGAAAAAAGGGGGTTTTTCAATGCTTTATTTATGATTATTACACTTGCTGGATTTGCTGTTTTAGTAAGTTGCAATCGATGTTGCAAGGGTCCGAAATATTCGATACTGATAGGTGGTAACTTCTTATTGAATTCGCGTGATCGCATATACTTAATTATATCGGTCATTTTACTATAACCAGTGTAAGGAGGTATAGTTAAAAGAAAAATCCCATGGTCTCTCTCTCTCCAATGGCGCGACAGCCCAAATAGAGCCTTGGTCTCCTCCAAACTATGTCTCCAACTTTGCCGGTCCCGCGCCGATCTTCTCCAGGTTCTCACGTCTAGCAAATTCTGCGCGTCCTCTGCCACTTCATCCTCACAACTCTTCTGTGGCCTTCCGTCTTGCGCTGTGCATTTTACTATCTAGGACTTTTTTTGTAGTCTTCATTCTAACTACATGACCAGCCCATGATTTTAAAAAAATGACAGAATTTTCAAAATGACTAAAAATCCGACGATTTTCGGTAATTTTGAAATGTTGAAACAAGTTATAAAAAAGATCTTTGTTACTCCAGCCCCTTTTAGAACAAGAACAAATAGATTTGGATAAATCATTTTTTGTTAATGTGTCTGTCATTATAATCCTTGGAAATATAAAGATTGGTAAAATGTAATAGGTGTCTGATGCGTTGTTTGTTGAATGTTTTCCCGCCAAACTATTTGACAGAATTAAGTCCCAGTTTTTTGCATGATTTTTGTATGGTGGTAATTCCGCTTCCGTCAAAGTTAAAAATTCGGTCTTCCTTGAAGTTAAATTTCGTATGTAATTGTTGCAAGTTATTAAAAAAAGATGGTAACTTGCCTTTGCTGATGGATTCAGGCATTCTTTGACTGCGATTTGTGTACCAGCATTAAAATTATGTTTATTATGATTAGCATTCGCAAATGACAATGCAAGTCTTTTTAGCTGGTTTCTGCTCAAACCACGAAATAATTTCGCCATCTTTCAAACATATTCTATTAAATCATGAATGTGTTGCTTGTGTGAGTCCATATCAAATAGGTAAAGAAATAATAATAAGACTTACTCACAATCAATTTAATTTAACAATCTGACGACCGGTTTCGCTTTCTATAATTTGCAAAGCATCTTCAGGTCGAGATACAAAGTTAAACTAATGCTGCAATAAAATAAACCCAATTAGGGTGGTGTCTCATAAAGATAAAATAAACAAATAAATAAATTAGTTCATACAAATTATAGTAATTATGCCAATATTACATGTCTGTGGTTTTCAAAATGAATAATTTGAATATATAAAAGGTAGTAACAGACAAGGTAAGGCCCACAATTGGTATAAAGTAGCAATCTTTTGTTGTAATAAATTAATAAATGAGCAAATAAATAAAACAAAACAAAACAAACATTACTTACATGCCGGTACTCTATTAATTGATGGATGGTAGGTCATGGTTGCAAAAATCATGTATTGTTGATTGGAGAACTTTAATGAGCTATTGCAGTTGTTTTGAAAATAAACGGGAAGTTCTTGAGGAGAACAGATTTGATCCAATGAATTAGAGATAGGTATATTGTTGTTGTTTGTCAGATGAAAGTGATGTTCTTTACTATTGTATTAATTAAATTATTTACACTATATAACAGAGATATATATTTTTTTTTTTTTTGGAATGTGTGTTATTTATTGAGTATTTATGTATTAATTGTTTTTTTAATCAAAGAAAAATGGCATTTTTAAATAAAAACAAAATGAATAAACGTTTAGACTTGTTTTGTTAAAGAATATTAATAAGGATCGTTTAAATAAAAAATATGTAGTCTATTTCATTGACAGAATGTGTAGCAATCACAAAACGTAATAAAATGTCTTTATACCTTGTCGTACCATCAGACAACCTTCTACTTGACCACATACCACAATACTGTATAAAAAACAAAAAGAATCGGGCAAAACTAACTATACCAGTGTCTAAAATGGCAAATAAACGACGTATATTTGTACTTTTTAAACTATACATATTTCTATAAATAAAAAAACTTACCGCTTATTTTCTCAGACACACAAACAATATACCAAACAAGCGAAAACATGTAAACAATAACTGCCACCAGTAAAGTTTCTTCCAAAGTTCGTTTGTGTGGGATAGATCTAACAATTGCTAATAGATAGTGCGACACTATAGTTTTTGCCATTTTTATTAAATAGGAGAGTGAAAACATTGATGCTCATAATTACCCGACGCGCACCATTAGCCGACTCTTCCCTATTGACTTGGAAATCTATTTTGCTATTTTCCGACCTTTATTGTATATATTTGTTGTTTTTCTCGGTTTTATCCTTATTTAGTACCTTTTATATCCCTGTGTCTATTTATTCACATAAATAAATAACTATTAAATTTTTTAGTATGACAAGATTTAGCCATATGGGTCATCTCTTTGCTGCTGCAAATGGAACCGTTATACAAATATATTCAGCGGTCACATTCGAATTAATGTATATGTTAAAGGGGCACAACGGAAAGGTAAATCAATCAATTACAAATCAGCACATGAAACAATTCTCTTCCAGAATATTTGGAAAAAACCAAACCAAAAAACTCACAATCTTGTATTAATAATGATGTCATATTTTATATATAGTGTAATGCAATCAGTTTCGATGTGTATCAGTTTTACATCATCATCACACCATACAAATTTAATACATGATCCACAATCTGAACCATGTCTTTTACCTGCTAATTGCTGAAACAAAATAATCCTGTCACTATCATAAAAACCATATTTAACACCACCACTTTCTTATGCCAGATCACACTAAGAAACACCAACTTAAAGTGGCCAAAGTAATGTAGCGGCAAAAAATCCCTTATCAGACTATATCTTAGTTCATCCAAAACACCAAGTCCCATTTTTTTCAAGAACTTTCAAAACAAAAAAGAAAACAAAGCAAAGTTTTAAAATAGATCGACAACAACAGCATATCTGTACATGCTTACCTTAAATCAGATTTTACACAAAGACGTAGTGTCCTACGTCAAGAAAGTTGGTGGTATTTAATCAATAAATATTACAATAAAACACTGAAAAATTTGTTTTCAAAACAAAAAAACTTATTATAATATTCTATCACTACAGCTGTTTCGGCAGAATGCCTTTCTTAAGTGATCTATTTTTGAATGTGTTCAAAAGAATGATTATGATCTAGAAGTGCGTATGTAGAATCTGTTTTTCTCTTATTGAAAGTTCTTTTATATTCTGCTATACGTTTGTTAAAGGTTCTACCAGTTCGACCCATGTAAGTTTTTGTGGCAGTCGCCATATTTAATTTTGTATACAACACTGTGTAAGTGCTTTCTTTATAGGTTCTGTAAGTTGTCCATCTATTCCGACTTCTATTTTATTATTTTGGTAGATGTTTTTGATGATTTTTCTAATATTTAAGGAAACTTCTCTATTATACACAAGATGGATTACATCTTTGAGTCTTACGCTATCAAAAGCTTTCTTTAGGTCAATCAGACATGCTGGTCTAGTATACTCTAGCGATTTCTCAGTAATTTGCTTTATAACTTAAGTATTTCATCTGTACACGATCTTCCACTACAAAATCGTGTTGTTCAGCTGCTAAACTTAACCTCTGATTTATTAGTACTTGTAAAATTTTACTTGTAAGTTTCAGGGTAGTATTTAACAAGTTTGTACCTCTGCAGTTTTCTCACTGTTTTTTATCTCATTTTTTGAATAATAGAATTTGTTTTCGCATTCTCCATTCTTTCGGTATTTTATTATGTTTTATAATTTTTGTAATTAATGTTGTTAATTGTTCTGTCATTGCTGCTCCACAATATTTTAGTAATTCATTTGGTATCCCGCTTTACCTGCTGTTTTGTGTCCTTCAGCTTTTTAAGTATTTTACGAACTTCCTGTATATTTATATTAAGTTCTTCATTTATGATAATTTCTGGTGTTTCTGGTTCTAGCCTCGTTTGTTCTTTCTGTGCATAGAGCTTTTTTAGCTAGTCCATCTATTCATCCTTTTCTATGTATTTTAATTCTATTAGTTCCTTTCTCCGTTCTTTGACCTCTTATGAAGCGTTATATTTCCTTTTGCAGACCGTTAAAATCATGTTCCATTTCTTTCGAAAAACGTTCCAGTGATCCTTTTATTTTTCTTACAAGTGCATCTGTTTCGTTTCTAATTGTCTTGTTATTATGGTATCCCTCTTGTGTTTTGGTTAGCATATATTTCTGGTAAGCTTTTTTCTTTTATTTACATTTTTCCTTTACTTCTGTGCAAAACTATCGAGTTCTTTGCCTTGGTTAGTATCTAAGGTTGAGAATAATTATTGATTATACAAAGCAACAAAGTCTGCTAACAAACTTGTTAGCAGAGTCGCTGTTACAGCATTTGAATAAATTAACCATAAAATAGATATACGAAACCAATATAATGCAAGGAATAATTATTTTGTATCAAAGAAAACCGCATGTCTACGCTGCCGTCCTAACATATAGGGTTCTATCTGAAAATTTTGCTAAAATAACTTTATTGGCTCACGGCATGCTTAAACATATTATCTATGTATGTACAAAATAAAATTGTCCTATAAGCGTCTTAAGTGCCTTGTTATATACCTAAATGGTTTGTCCTAACTGTATAAAAAACCATGTTCACTGACAAATTTTCCTATCTAACATATACTAAGAAAAATTGCCCGTTTTAACTTTAAAAATGCAGTTAGGACTATTTAAGCTAGCATTTAATACTGATCGGATAATTTTGCGTACTATGACTCAAGCATGGGTTTCAAAGGAGTAGTGATGCGCAATACAAACTGTTGCTTCCTGATAACACCTCTAGCCACTCCTACTCAATTCCTATCCTCACCTCCAAGAAGTGTGGTTTAATCACACGGGTGAATATTGGCAATCCTGAGCAACCTTACCGGAGATTGGGTAACCAACCCCAATGGAAAGTAGGGTCAAGGCTGACGAGGAAGGGAGAAATGGTCCTCCGAAAAGGGGGTTGGGCGATAGGCCAGTAAACTATTCTTGTAAAAAAGTACTTATACGAAACCTTCAGATAGGCCTCGGAATGGACGGGTATCAAGACGATGACTTTGGCAACGAAATATGAAATTAATGCTGAGAACATGGTATGTCAAAATGCTAAATAGACCAGGAGCACAGAGGATCCTTTTACACGAACTAAACAGATATCAAATAGGGATACACACTATACTGTATAGCGGTAAATATACAGGAAATAAAGAATTTGGAGTACCCTTTTTCATAGATAATAAAATGAAGCACCTGATAACAGACTTTCTAGCCATCAATAAAAAAATCTGCAAGCTTGGGATAAAAATGTATTTCTTTAACATAACTCTTATAAATGTACACTGTCCCACAAATAAACAGGAAGAAAACGCTAAGATAGGCTTAAGATCTAGAACGAATCTATGACTCAATACCAAGAAACGACATGAAAATGTCGTCTGTGTCTGTGACTTCATAGCATCTACTAGTACAGACACGGTTTAGATGCAAAATTAGTCGACAGGTAAAGGAAAAATATCCAAAACAAGAGAAACTAAACTTAGATAACCTAAAAGTCTCTAAGATACAAGAAAGATTTAAGAAAACAGTGGATGAAAAATTACCAGAAGAAAACAGCGCAGACTCTACAATAGAAAACCAATGGAACACCATAAGCAGTATCATACTCAACACAGCGAAAGAAGTCCTAGGAACAAAGACACAACGGAGAGAAGAAACCTGGTTTGATGAAGAATGCAAACAAGCTATACAGGAAAGAAATGAAGCACATAATAATTACATACTCAGACGTACTAGAGAGAGAAACACGTAGTGCATACCAATTTATCAAACATTTAAGACAGGGATACAAACCGAAGACTAGCCTCTACAAAAATAAGAAGGGTGAAATCATTAGCGATATAGACGAAATTAAGAGAACCTGGATGATATATTTTGAGCAATTACTAAACAAATGGATACAACCACCATTACAACAACAGAGGCAGCAGCAGGCACGGCAAGAGGTACAACAACAAGAGATGGGGGAAGATGGAGAAGAAAATGAATTAACTAGACTTCCAATGCTAGAGGAAATCCAAACGGCAATTCACATACAAAAAAGCCATAAAGCACTGGGAATAGATAAAATACCGACAGAACTACTCAAGCAAGGAGAAAGGAATTTGACACAACAGATGTACCAGCTAATACGAAAGATATAGATAGAAGAAGAAATTTACCAACAATGGAAGAAAAGTATAATCTGTCTTATTCATAAAAAAGGAGAGAGTCAGAATTATAGAGGCATTTATTTACTTTGTTCGGGATACGAAATACTAACAAACATCATTAATCAAAGACTTCAACCTCCCACGGAAAAAAAACATCGGGGAATATCAAGCAGGGTTTAGGCAAAACAGAACTACCATTGACCAACTATTTACAGTTAAACAAATACTAGCCAAAGCATGGGAATATGACATGGACATTTACAATCTCTTTGTAGATTTTAAACAAGTCTATGATTAAATAGATAGAACAATTCTACCTAATATATTGGAAGAATTTGGCATACCATCAAAATTATTACGACTAGTGCAAATGACAATGACAGAAATAGAAGCACAGGTATGTATTCAAGGACAGATCACTGATGCGTTTACGATAAGGCAAGGACTGAAACAAGGCGACGGACTGGCTCCAATGCTCTTTAATCTTGTTCTTGAATATGTAATTAGACGGTTAACGGTAAACGGAAATAACAAACTTACAAACAACTCTACCTAATTAGTAGCATACGCAGATGATATAAACATAATGAGCAGAACAGTGACTGCAGCGGAAAAAACCTACGTTGAGTTGAAACAGAGTGCAGAAGCAGTAGGACTAGCAATAAATACAAATAAGTACAATAAAACAAAACTACTTATACAAACCAGATCAAATAGACCGGCACAACAACACTTTATTGACGATATAGAACATGTGAATAGATTCACATACCTAGGAATGGATCTGGTCACAAGCAATGAAGAAGAACCGGAAATAAATAGAAGTCTTGTTCTGGCAAATAACGCCTATTTCGCGATGGGCCACATATTCAAATCACGAGACATACACCGGAAAACAAAACTCGTGATCTATAAAACAATAATCAGGCCTATACTAAGTTATAGCTGTGAAAAATGGTTGGTGACACAGAAATCTGCCAATGCATTAGATCTGTTTGAAAGAAAAATATTACGTAGGATTACTGGCGAATTAGGTATAATAGAGAAATATACGAGCAATATAGCAAACCAACTCTAGCACAATACACTAATCTGCAGATATTACGGTGGGCAGGGCACGTGGTCCGCATGCATGAGAATATAATCGCCAGAAAATTACTAAATGCAAGAATGCAGGGGAAAAGACCTGTTGGAAGACCTAAAAAGAGATGGGAAGACGAAGTCGATGAGAATGCCAGGAACTGCCTGGGAACGCGTTCGTCGAAAAGAACATCGGTAAATCGAAATGATTGGAGAAGCTTGTTGAAGGAGGCCAAGGCCCGATTTGGGCTGTAGTGCTATTGAATGGAAAATGGGAAAAACTGACAGAAGCATATTTGTAACATAACTTCAAATAATTAATTATAAAATGTATTTCTTGTTGTCAGACATTGGGTGTATTGTCATGTTTTTGTATTTTAAGTAAATATATATTGTGAGAAATGGAATGAAGGGTAAGTTTAATAATGTTACCTTATGTATAAGCAATAACTGATTGTAATTATTGTTTGTAGCAGTAGCAAAAAATATAAACGCATATGCGTCTATATTCTTTGCTAGTAGCAATGCAGCTTTATTAAGCCGGAACAGCGATAGATATCATTTATGTTACATATATTACGATGTAAATATTGTACATTGTGTATTAAATTTTAGTGTAAGTTAAAGTGTTTAGTTAATTAGATTTTAAGTTGCATTTAGGACAATTTCAGTAATAGAAAAAAACTTCCTTCATATTTTATACACTAAGCTAAATTATCCTACGTGACAATATCAAAAATCGACTAATCTGGAAAGCATAAATCAAAGTTATAACTAGCAATTAAATTCTATATTCCAAAATAATATAAAATAAAACATAAAGTGTTTATTAAATTACCAAGCATTATACAATAAAAAGAAACAAAAACCTAAATTTTGCAGATATGACCTTTCATGTTAGGACGGCAGTACGGATGTCAAATGGATTACAACGGGATTATGATATCATAAGGCACCAAAATAATATCTGAATAATGATTCACTGCTGATTGATACATATTAATTATGTTCTGAAGCTATTTTCTTGTGGCATTGTAAATTAATTACTATTAAACTGGGAATAAGCCACAATTAAAGATAAAAATACGTTTATTGACGTTTCAATTTCCACTTCGGAAATCGTTCTCAAAATACAAAACAGTAAATTAAACAAATTTTGTTTTTTGTTACATAGTGAAAAATCTTCTAATAATTTAATTTTATCTGACTCATTTATATTGACAATTCAGACATACATTATGTATTTTAAAGTAGACGACTTTAAATGATATTGCCAATATTGTTGAGTTGCGCTCCTGGGACGACTTTACTTATAAGATAGTTCATTCGATTACATGAAATCAACTTTAAACTTGAGAATATCCGTCAGAAAAAATCATAGCATGTAATTCGTCTTTAAAAAGACAAACACATGACATGATGACAGTGAAATTCTCCTGTTAGTGATTCCATAGTAAATTATGAGGGAAAACCAGGAAAAAAACCTCATAATACTATCCCGATATTGTAAGTATTTGTTCGTGAATTTAGTTTACCTTCAACAAACATCAAAATTCTGATTTTATATGTTACGTTATTTAAAAAACATAAATGATGTATCCTCTATATGTTACTGACTTACTAATAGTGGTATTTTCTTATTATTAACTTCCTCTTTCAATATTGGTAACCAGATCCTACTACATTCTGCCGAAGAATTTGCGACACAATTGGCCTCATTTAGCATAATTAGAGCCGCTTCTTTGATTTTTCTTTTTTTACCATCCGTTTCTTTTAGGACTACATTTGAATTATTCCATTGAACCCTATGTTCATTATCCCATGCGTGTTTACAGATTTGAGATCTATCAAATTCTTTATTTTTAGTATAAGATTAATGTTCACTTATTCTAACATTTAATGGCCTTGATAATTCACCTACATAAAACTGATCGCATTCAGAAGGTATTTTATAAATGCAATTCTTTGTCCTTTCTTGTTCATTGTTAGGTTTGTTTGGACAAAATAGATCTCAACGTGTTTGTCGTTTTGAATGTTGTTGAAATGTTGAATTTATTTCCTATCCTTTTAAGTTTTTCTGATAGTCCTTTTATGTACGGTATTGTTATTTTTCCTCATATTATTCCTTGTGTATGCTGTAGGATCTCGTTCTAAGTTGTTCTGTTCTATTCGATCGATTGTTGAAAATTCCTTATTTATAAACGATAAAGGATAATCATTTTTTAATAAAACAGATGTTAACAAATGTTTCCCCTCCAAGAACGAATTTTCATTAGAACAAGTAATAGAACAAGGAATAATATGAGGAAAATAACAATACCGTACATAAAAGGACTATCAGAAAAACTTAAAAGGATAGGAAATAAATTCAACATTTCAACAACATTCAAAACGACAAACACGTTGGGATCTATTTTGTCCAAAACCAAACCTAACAATGAACAAGAAAGGACAAAGAATTGCATTTATAAAATACCTTCTGAATGCGATCAGTTTTATGTAGGTGAATCATCAAGGCCATTAAATGTTAGAATAAGTGAACATTAATCTTATACTAAAAATAAAGAATTTGATAGATCTCAAATCTGTAAACACGCATGGGATAATGAACATAGGGTTCAATGGAATAATTCAAATGTAGTCCTAAAAGAAACGGATGGTAAAAAAAGAAAAATCAAAGAAGCGACTCTAATTATGCTAAATGAGGCCAATTGTGTCGCAAATTCTTCGGCAGAATGTAGTAGGATCTGGTTACCAATATTGAACGAGGAAGTTAATAATAAGAAAATACCAGTATTAGTAAGTCAGTAACATATAGAGGATACATCATTTATGTTTTTTTAAATAACGTAACATATAAAATCAGAATTTTGATGTTTGTTGAAGGTAAACTAAATTCACGAACAAATACTTACAATATCGGGATAGTATTATGAGGTTTTTTTCCTGGTTTTCCCTCATAAGTTACTATGGAATCACTAACAGGAGAATTTTACTGTCATCATGTCATGTGTTTGTCTTTTTAAAGACGAATTACATGCTATGATTTTTTTTTCTGACGGATATTCTCAAGTTAAAGTTGATTTCATGTAATCGAATGAACTATCTTATAAGTAAAGTCGTCCCAGGAGCGAAACTCAACAATATTGGCAATATCATTTTAAAGTCGTCTACTTTAAAATGCATAATGTATGTCTGAATTGTCAATATAAATGAGTCAGATAAAATTAAATTATTAGAAGAATTTTTCACTATGTAACAAAAAACAAAATTTGTTTAATTTACTGTTTGTATTTTGAGAACGATTTCCGAAGTGGAAATTGAAACGTCAATAAACGTATTTTTATCTTTAATTGTGGCTTATTCCCAGTTTAATAGTAATTAATAATTAATTATGTAAAAAGTAGAATATTTGTATACAAAAAAGTGTAGAATACTGTTATAATATAGTAAGTTGTATCTTGTATTTGTACGAGGTATTTATGCTTGGTCAAACAATTTTTCTTTTATAAATTCATACTGATATTATTCTAACGCTATTTTTTAGCTGCTAGTTTCCGAATTGTTTTTAGGAAAGTCATTTTTTGATAATTATACGAGTCTTTGGGATTTTTCTTAAAATGCATTAACATTATTACTCTTCTACATTCACCAAAAAATTCTATTTTATTTAGTGATTTTCTATTTTAGTCTTTGTTAGTTATTGTCGTCCATATTTGAGTAGTTTATTCGTAATTTGGTGTTCACCTGATGATTTTCAATTTTTTTAGTGTTTTTCGAGTGTATATTTCTGAGTGTCTTATTCTAAGAGCTCGGTTTGAAATTAATATAAACATCAATAGAGAGTAATTAAACTGACACTTGCACGATACTTTAGGCAATGTTGCATTGTTTCATCCATTCAATAATTTTTAGTAAATGTTTTTAATTAATATGGTTAAAGCTTATTTTAACAGGTTTTTAGACAATGTTCATACTATTTGAGTTTAATTTAAAATTTCTTTTCCATAGATAACAGGCTTAGCATGGTCAAATGACGATACCATCTTAGCTAGCTGTGGTATGGAAGGCGCCGTTTACCTATGGGACGTCGTAAAATCTGCCAGAATACATGAAACAGTCATCAAATCGGTTCAATCCAAAGGAATCCAATTAAGCAGAGATGGAAAAAATGCATTTGCAGTTGGACAGGACGGACATGTTAGGGAATACTTTAGTTCCAACGTACAAAGAGACGTAGTGATTCCACCTGGCGCTCCCTTGGATGCTATTGTTCTTTCAGCCCTAGATAATATGATGTTTGTTACTGGTAAGTTTTTGAAAAAATCTAACAAACTATACGTATAGTTATTTGTTGAAATAATGTTAAATTTATTATTCATACACCTTAATAAAACTATAAATCTAATAGCTAGTGAATAAGAAAAATGCGGAGAAAAACTAAGTTTAAGAATATGACAAAACGTACAGGAAATAAGTAAAAAATGGTAAAATGAATTATCCAGATGGATATATCAAACTGTTTCTAAATCAATTAGTTACTTCATGTTTATTTTATAATAACAAGATTTTTTTTTCTCTGGAATCTATCTGTTCTGCACCGCTCTTACTGCAGCCAATTGATGTGTTATACAGATCACGACATTGTTTTATTCACCATACAATACAATGGCAATCGCTGTGACATTTTACACTTTTCTACCTCTATACTCCACCTCTATTTCACAGTATGTACAAATTGTCGTAATTGTCACATTGACATCAAAAATTTCAAACAAAGTTTTGAAAGAATAAACAAATAATTAATAAAATACCTATTACGTTGCATACCGTTCAAGAAGAAGTGCAACTCGTGACATGGTACTTTCAGGGTCATTCAATGCGCGAAGTAATTGATTTATTTATTGTTGACTTCGAAAATATACTCTCACCAAGTGTTACAACAGTTAAAAATACCATCAAACATTTTCAAACTTCGGGATGTGTAAACAGTTGTAAAAAGTGTCATGAAGGTAATGAACCACCTGTTGGACCTGTTGATGATGAGCGTCAAAACAGAGATATTGATATTTCTGCTTTTGTGGAAGCTAGTGAACCCTGTAATAGTGTACAAATTGCTAGGGAAGTTAATGTGAATGCTCGAAATGTCCAGCGAGTTCTCAAAAGGAATGGGCATCACTGTTTTAAGATACAACCAACACAAGAACTGTTTTCGAAAGATAACTTTACGCGGATGGAGTTTTGTGAATTTATATTAGATAAACAGAATGAAAATGTACATTTTTTGAAAAATATTTTATTTTCTGGCGAATCTTTATTTTCATTACATAAAAAATACAATCCATACGTTGCAAGGTATTATTCTCGGAAAAATAAGCAGAAAAATATGAAGCATAAGAAAAATAAGTGTTGCATGGCGACCATATTGTCGGTCCATTTTTTATCGATGGAAACCTAAACGGCCCAAATATTTACAACTTTTATAGAACAAGATCATTCCGGCAGTTTATTTAGGAGGTTTATTTCCAACAAGATGGGTTTTCGGCTCACAACTCTATAGCAACTATTGACTTCCTCAATCAAACGTTCCCTGATCGACTAATAAGTACACGTGGTATAATTAAATGTCTCTCTAGATCCTGTGACTTAGCGCCTAACGATTTCCTTTTTTGGGGTTTTAAAAAAAAACATTTATAGGCATCAGTTTGAAAGGGCCACAAACCTAGTCGAATTAAGAGCAAAAATACTTCATTTTTCCGCTCATTTTTCCCATAGCCACACATGCATCCGAAACGTGGACCTCAAAGAAAGCGGATAAAAATAAACTGGACGCTTTTGAAATGTGGGTATACGGCCGCATGTTGAGAGTATCCTGGATTGATCATCGCACTAACGTATCGATACTAGAACAACTTAAAGTAAAGGATAGATTGCTTAAACAAATACAATAGAGATATTTGCAGTATTTTGGACACATTGCTAGAAGAACAGGCACGATGAAAAAATTGATAGTCGAGGGTAGAGTTGAAGGAAAAAGCCCTAGGGGAAGATATCAAGGCCGTTGGGTAGATCAAACAAAAACATTGATTAACCAAGGGTTACATAAAGCCGAACAACTAGCCCAGGAAAGAGAAGGATGGAGGGAAATCCTAAAAAAACTGTGAAGGCCTGATGGTGTCACCACATCCCAAAAGGATTAGGACTGAGGAGGAGGAGGATATACCAGATCTTACCCTGTTGATTATGGTACTCCTTATTTTCTCATACTTTCCTGTTTGGAATGGATACCCTATATGAATTCTTAAAATTGTACTTTTTGTCATGTGATCTGGTTTCTCATCAATAATGTCCTTCGTCACAGTCCATGTGATACTTATATGCCCTGTCCCTTCATTGCAAAGTTTTAGTGTTTGTTTTATTCTGTAGGCTCCCAATTTTGCTTCTCCTTGTGTTATCACATGCAAATGAGACAGACCTAGTAGAGCCTCCATAGCTACTGTTGGAGTAGTACGATAGCACTAGTTATCGCTATACACGCAAGTCTTTGCATCTTGCTGAGTTTGGCTCTTGCAGCTGTTTGAATCGTCTTAGTCCACCACATTGTCGCTACATAGCTAATTGAACCAATGCACCACAAATGCAAATTGTTGTAAGTATAAAAGTTGGGCGTCTCGTCAAAATGAAGCTACTCACGAATAATTAGCTTGTCATTAATCAATAGTAAAAATGGGCCTAGGATCCCGGACTATTTCTTCAAAGTGCTGACTAAAATTTTGAATAATTATAAATAAATATTTTTACAGGTAATAACGGTGTGGTTTATGTTGTAAAAATGCCTTTGCTTGAGAAAGCAGAAGTTGTGGAGTATAATATGCACAATAGAACTATTTCCAAGGTAAGAGAATACTTTCTTAAAATTAGATTTTCTAAAATATCATTCTTAAGGTACCATACCTAATTTTGGGCATAAGCAGTTCCTTTCTATAACCTAATACACCTATACTATGACCAAAAAGCACATAAAAAAGAATGTAGATTTGAGACAAGAATGTAGCTTTTCCATCCTACTATTTAATAATATATATCAGGAAACTATTTTTCAATAGGCATTACACAATGAGCCAGGGTCACCAATGAGAAAGTGCTGAGAAGGATTGGTCAAGACAAAAAATTGTTGAGAACAATAAAAGTCCGCAAGACTGCATACCTTGGAGACATACTGAGGAATGATAAATATAGTCTTCTGCAGGTTATCATGCAAAGTAGAGTCGATGGTAAAAAGAGAATAGGTAGAAAGAGGAAGTCATGGCTGCGAAATATTCGAGATTGGACAAACATGACTGTAGATGAATTATTCCACGTTGCAAAAAACAGAAACTCTTAGAAATGGGGTCTCCAACCTCCGTTAATGGGGACGGCATAGGAAGAAAAAGATTACACAATGAAGTGTCGGGAATAATCTGGAATGAGATATATATAAGGTCTCCCAATAAGAATGTCCTGATGTTTTTTTTTAACGAAACGGTAAAAATTGCTGTAAATCAAAAAAAGAAAGTTTATTGCAAAATATAATAGATATCAATTATGTTCTGTATAACACATCATTCAAATATCCCCCTCTACTACGTTTGCAGGAGCGAATCCGATGAACCCAATTTTCGGTCACTTTATGCAAAATATCCGCATTAATCTCACGAATGGTGTACTCTATATTCCTCTTCAAGACTTCAATGGATTGTGGTTTATTCAAATAGACCAATGACTTAAGATAGCCCCATAAAAAATAATCAAATGGTGTTAAATCGCAGCTTTTTTAGGCCAAGCATCTGGTCGAAGTTGCTGAATTCTCCTGGGATCTCTGGCATCAAGAGAAATCAATGTTTCCGGGAACTTTTCCTTCAATAAATCAATGGTTGGGGCAGTAGTGTGACATGTGGCACCGTCCTGTTGAAAAAACATGCCATCCAAATCCATTTCATCCAACTGAGGCCACAAAAAATCCGTTATCATCGTTCGATACCTTTCACCGTTAACTGTTACACCATGTTCGAAAAAATAAGGTCCGATGATGCCACCATGCCATAAACCACACGACACAGTGACTTTTTCTGGATGCAAAGGTTTCTCAAGAATCTCATGTGGATTATTTTCACTCCAAAAACGACAATTTTTGCTTATTCGCAAAGCCGTTTAAACCAAAAATGAGCTTCATCGGAAAAGATTTTTTTTTGAAAAAATCGCCATCATTTTCGAGTTTGTCTAAAGCCCAATCAGCGAACAAACGACGCTTATGATGGTCAAGTGGCTTCAGTTCTTGAGTCAGAACAATCTTGTAAGGGTGTAAGCCTAAATCTTTTCTCAGAATTCGCCAAGTTGTCATTCTGGCGAGTCCAAGTTCCTGAGAACGACGATTTACGGACACATTTGCATTCTCTGCTACACTGGCTATTACAGCAGCAATATTGTCCTGAGTTCTTGCATTTTGGCGTCTAGTTGGTGGTTTCGTATCCTGCAAAGTAAATTCACGTTCAAACTTTTCCACGATTCGACGAATTACACGCACATCAGGACGATCATTTGGTCCATAACTTTCACCTAATGCACGATAGGTATTCACAAAAGAACGATTATTAGCATAAAATTTTAGGATAATTTCCAAACGTTGTTCAAGCGTATATCTTGCCATGGTAATTTGTTAGAGTATACTAAATACAAACGTCAAAAAGTGACAGTTCCATCATTTTCAAAATGGCCGCTAAGACATTTCAAAAACAGGACGTCCCTATTGGGAAACCCTGTATTAATAATTTACGATATGTGAAGACATTAATGTCTGAAACCATCAACGATTTACAAATAACTATCCAAAAGGTGTATACATTCTACTAACAGTATAAATACAAAATAATTAGGTGATTTTGAAAATAAATGCAAGTACCCGTGCACTTACATTAATAGCAATAACAACTTTTCAATAGAATTAAGATCAAGAATTGAAATTTCGCATAACTGATTTATTAAAATGAAATCATACTTTAGCAATAAAACTCGAAATGTAAATCTTAAAAATTGGTTTGCTAAGATATTATATTATATCAGTATTCACCATTAACTTATATCCTTACTAAATTCGTGATCTGAGATTAAACAATTTTGGTAATACGGTTGTATAAAAATCTGCTAAAACGATAATGCGTTTATATAGTCACCAATAAAAAGGGAACTCGAAGACTGTCAGAACAAACGGACCTAGTTAATGAAATAAAGATCAGAAACTCTTAAATGGTCAAATATCTTGACCACGTAGTCAGTCAAACAAAATATCATCTACTACAACGTGAAAAATTATCAAAAAAGATATCTTTTAAGCAAGAAAGATATCCCGCAATCTTATAAAACAGTTCAACGTCTTATTTCAACAGCTCTTCAGAGCAGAAGTAAACAAGATCCATCATTATCATTCTCTTTATCTTTATCCCTATGTGGGATCTGCTTGTTGATCACCATCAAGAGAAGAAAGCTGGAATATCTTGGTCATGTGATGAGAGGGAAGAAGTACCGATTGCTCCAGTTAATTATCCAAGGAAAGATTCAGGGCAAACATAGCGTGGGAAGACGATGTATGTACATCTTGGCTGCGCAATTTAAGAGACTGGTTCCAGTGCACATCTAACCAATTATTTAAAGCAACAGCTTCAAAAATACGAATAGAAATGATGATTGCCAAACTACGTAGCGGAGAGGGCACTTGAAGAAGAAGAAGGGATCTGCTTCCGTAATTATATTTGTTTATTTTCCTGTCATTTTTTATTGTCTGATTAACGTCTCGACATTGAACATCACCGAATTACCTTCCATGCTTTCCTATTTTGACACCAATTGGTGCCACCTCTAACCCTAATAAACTAATTGCTAACTCTATATTTTTTGTCACTTCACTTATCTATCTAAGCATTCTTATCTCCGTCAGATTCATTCGTTGTCCCTCATTCTTTATAACTACCCAAAATTCAGCTCTATACGTCATAGATGGTGTCCTAATCTGGTAATTTTATATAATTTTCCTTCCAGGTTCATTGGAAAATTTGTTGATCAAAATATAAGGAAGCAAGCTTCCACTTTATCAATTTTACTCTAATAATTCATGTATCTTTATTTATTTCCCCATTAATCTGTAATACCAATCCTTTGTAGGACACAGTGGGACTCCTTCAGATATAAAAATTTGAATTGTCATATCACTCTAAACAGCTCACCAAATAAACAAAGAAAATATTCATAAAATACATTGTTCACCCAACTTGCACTGTGTATATTCTTTTAATAGTAAACCCTATACTTCTAAAAAAATCAAAACCACTTGGGGCCACCTTCAGACGGAGAATGGGGCAGCCTCAGACACAATTGGAAAAATTACAACCTCATATAAATGTGTTAGAAATTATTAATTATAGTATTTCAAACTATATTATGATACTTAATGCATATTGAAGTTTTCCAATGAAACTGATTTCCAAAGACAATATTGATTTCTGTCGCTTTGTACTCTGCTCAGAAGAAGTTAGAAAAAGGGTGACAATTTCTGATAAAGAAGCACTAGAGATATCTGGTACGATGGGGTAAAAAATTATAATTTACTTTAGATGACATTCTCAAAAATGAAAGTTCAACGACCCCATCATCACATTTACCAATGATTCTCCCACCAGGAGACATCTTTGTGTTTTACAGTCCCAAATTAAACCAGCACAAAATCTTCAATTTTTAATTCACTCCTGTCAAAATTTTGCTGTAGTTCTTCTAATACTTTACCACTAGAGTTTTTGCCATTTTCATCATCAGTTGTCTTCGCATTTTTCTTATTTTTAAAAAATAGTTTTCTTTTCGTAAATTTAGTACATTTAGCATTGGAATTGGTGTTTTTCTTTGTTTTTTCTTATTGATCTGTCAGAAGAAGCTTTTCTGTGGTTGCAGTTATTATTCTGCTTTTCCCCTTTTTTCTTGACTTGAAGCTAGTATTGAGTTTTGATTTTGGATACCCTCGTATCTTCTCAGGACTTAACTAATAGGCAGGCTGTTGAGAGGGCATATTGGTTGCTAAAAGTTTTCGCTTGAAATTTGGGGAGATGAGGGTGGTTTTTCAGATTCTAAAGTTGGTAGACTTGCAGCTAATTGGCATGTTAGAGGTTCATCAGGAAGAGTTTAGTCTGGAGGATTAGGTCTCTTCAAACTGGGAGCAAACATATCTTAGGTGAAAATGTGCCTGTCAACTGGAAATATTCCTGTTTTTTTTAAGAATTTATAATGCTCTGTGGTAACATGACACAGTCTTGTGCTATTCCAACACATGCGGCCTCGTGATAGATTTCAAAACGTTGGCCTGGGTTAGACTTTAACCATAAATCAATTGCAGCATTATAATATGTTTTAAAAGGTTTCATCAATCCCACATCCAGTGGTTGCATCATGTAGTTATAATGGGGTGTAACTTTAATTGTATTTAAAACCTCTTTATCTTTTCCCATTCTTCTCAACACCTCTACATTCGTGACTCTATCTACCAAACTGATTCTTAATATCCTTATGTAGTTCCATAACTCGAAGGCTTCTAATCTGTCCGAAACATCTGTCCAAGCCTCCAACGCATAAAATAATACGGAGAACACGTAGCATCTCTGAAGTCTTATCTTTAAAGAAATTGAAATGTCCCTGCTACAGAGTACCTTTTTCAGTTTGTTGAAAGAATTTCTTGCCTGTCCTATTCGTGCCTTAATCCCTTCTATGTACCCATTATTTTTGTTAATTATTGTACCCAGATATTTATATTTTTTAACTTTTTTTAATTTGTTATGTTGTATTGTTATATTATCTTGGCGCTGTTGAACCTTTGTAATTACCATAAATTGTGTCTTTTTGTGTTTAGGAACAGTCCGTTTACTTCACTGACTTCTACCACTCTGTTAACCATTTGTTGTAAATCCTCAAGACCGCTAATAAAATAGTGTCGTCGGCATTCCGTATATTATTAATTGGTCGGCCATTTAATTTTACTCCCATAGTTAGTTCTTCTAGTGCTTCCTGGATTATTTACTCTAAATACAAATTGAAGAAAGTAGGAGACAGGACACAGCCCTGCCTGACGCCCCTCTTAATCTGTATCTGTTCATTTGAAAAGACGTTATTCGCTTTTACCACAGCGATCTGATTATAATAGATAGCGCTAATGATCCCAATATCTCTCATACCTAAGTTTTTTTTTTCAAATAATTCGATAAGACGGTTATGTCTGACCTTATCGAAAGCTTTGTTGTAATCCAAGAAACACGTATGTATATACTGGCTGATTAACATTCATGCCCCATTGCACAAGTACATTCACAGCCAACAGGGCTTCCCTCGTTCCCAGTGCATTTCTAAATCCAAATTGTGTGTCACTTACATCCTGTTCAAGTTTGTTGTGTATTCTCCAGTGTATAATTTTCAAAAATAATAATGTGTATAATGTCTACTACTTCGTATATCAAAACAAAACTACTGTCGGCGAACGCAATGCATTATGGAGTATCCGTTGCAGTACTAGTGGCAATGTGGCGGCAAATTTGATTTATATTGTTCTGAAGCTATTTTCTTGTGGCATTGTAAATTAATTACTATTTATAACTGGGAATAAGCCACAATTAAAGATAAAAATACGTTTATTGACGTTTCAATTTCCAATTCGGAAATCGTTCTCAAAATACAAATAGTAAATTAAACAAATTTTGTTTTTTGTTACATAGTGAAAAAATTCTTCTAATAATTTAATTTTATCTGACTCATTTATATTGACAATTCAGACATACATTATGCATTTTAAAGTAGACGACTTTAAAATGATATTGCTAATATTGTTGAGTTGCGCTCCTGGGGCGACTTTACTTATAAGATAGTTCATTCGATTACATGAAATCAACTTTAACTTGAGAATATCCGTCAGAAAAAATCATAGCATGTAATGCGTCTTTAAAAAGACAAACACATGACATGATGACAGTAAAATTCTCCTGTTAGTGATTCCATAGTAAATTATGAGGGAAAAACCAGGAAAAAAACCAGGTGAATCATCAAGGCCATTAAATGTTAGAATAAGTGAACATCAATCTTATATTAAAAATAGAGAATTTGATAGATCTCAAATATGTAAACACGCATGGGATAATGAACATAGGGTTCAATGGAATAATTCAAATATAGTCCTAAAAGAAACGGATGGTAAAAAAAAGAAAAATCAAAGAAGCGGCTCTAATTATGTTAAATGAGGCCAATTGTGTCGCAAATTCCTCGGCAGAATGTAGTAGGATCTGGTTACCAATATTGAAAGAGGAAGTTATTAATAAGAAAATACCAGTATTAGTAAGTCAGTAACATATAGAGGATACATCATTTATGTTTTTTAAATAACGTAACATATAAAATCAGAATTTTGATGTTTGTTGAAGGTAAACTAAATTCACGAACAAATACTTACAATGTCGGGATAGTATTATGAGGTTTTTTTCCTGGTTTTTCCCTCATAATTTACTATGGAATCACTAACAGGAGAATTTTACTGTCATCATGTCATGTGTTTGTCTTTTTAAAGACGCATTACATGCTATGATTTTTTCTGACGGATATTCTCAAGTTAAAGTTGATTTCATGTAATCGAATGAACTATCTTATAAGTAAAGTCGCCCCAGGAGCGCAACTCAACAATATTAGCAATATCATTTTAAAGTCGTCTACTTTAAAATGCATAATGTATGTCTGAATTGTCAATATAAATGAGTCAGATAAAATTAAATTATTAGAAGAATTTTTTCACTATGTAACAAAAAACAAAATTTGTTTAATTTACTATTTGTATTTTGAGAACGATTTCCGAATTGGAAATTGAAACGTCAATAAACGTATTTTTATCTTTAATTGTGGCTTATTCCCAGTTATAAATAGTAATTAAATTTGATTTAGTTAATAATAGTGTTTTATTGTGTAATATGTGTCAATGTGTAGTACTCTCCCCTACTTGATCTACTTCCTCGTTTATTTTTATGACCGTCACTATTACTGTCTCCTTTTTATCAATAGTAATTTTTCATTTTCTTTTCTTTTACATCTAATCTGAATAAAATATATTGCTTTCTTTCCCCTACATTTAACAATTTTGTATATCTTTGCTTCACCCTCTCTGCTACCAAGATCGTATAGATTTGTTGCAATTCTATTTTTTAAGTTTTGTTACTGCTACATTTGCTTTCTTTTTGAAGACCTTATAGCTTTAAAGATGTGTGTCCGACATATTTTCTGATCACTTTTTGTATAGTTTTTTATTCTCTTTATTGTTTTCTTTAATTTCTTTTGACTATCACCAGTTCTCTTTATTCTCAAATTTCTCTTCTGGGGATGTTCCAAATATTTTAATAGCAATAATAATACCATATAGCCACATTCCTCCAAGAACTTCCTTTCATGTTCCAACTTTTTTTTACTGTTTTTTTAATAAACATACCTCTTTGCCTTTTCTTATCATAAAATAATCTATTTGAAACTAATTGTATCTACTTTTTATGTAATAAGTTCACTTTCTTTTTTTTTAATGTGTTAACAATCACCACATCAATTGCTAGAACGTACTTACAGAGCATACACACATACAATATTCAGTACTTCTTTTCAAGTACAAGTTTAATTGACATTAGTCTATCGCCCGTTCTTACAACTTCTACTAGGTTATATTTCATTAGCAATTCTACCAACTCTATTAGTATTACTCCTCTTGAATAAAGCAATTGACACTCTGTTTAACTGTAAGATGTCAACGATTCCAAGACTTTCCAACACTTTCAAATATTTTAAAACAAAGATTCAAGTAATAGTGTCCCACTGAAATAGTCCTCTATAATAAACAAGACCCAAATACTCATGAAAAATGTTGTCAACATTCGAAATAACACGCTAGAAATTTGATATATCAGTACATTAATATTAAAGTTAATTGTAAAAATTAGGTAATTATGTTTTGAACGAGCTAGAAAATGCTAAATGAATTGTTTAAACAAATTCCCAAATTGGAATTCAAAAGGTAAAATAATTTATTTTAAGTTTTTTATTAATTTCTAAAAAGATAATAAGCAAAATAAAAGCAAAGGAAAAAGAAAATAATATATAATTTATATCCCACATACATGCACCTTTTGGAATAATATAAAGTTTTTGTTTTCAAAATTTGAACAGCATATTTTAAAAACACATATTTCAGATGGTGCTATCATGCGACGATAAATATCTAATAACTGCCTCAGTAGAAGGCATAATTACGTTTTGGAAACTTCTAAACACCGAAGACAAAGCAATCAAATTAGATTTGATATCATCAAGTGAGATTCTTATATCGAAACAAATATTAGAGGACAAGATGATGCAGATAAGAAATCTCCAAATTAGAATGAGAGAACTAGAAACAGAGCATTCTTATCAGATGCGGCAAAGTGACGCACTTGCTGCTAGTAAACTCAAAGATATTCACACGCAATATTGCAATGCAATTGAAGAGCTAAAATTAAAAAACGAGGTAAGTTTAGAGGATAATAAAACATTTATATGAATTACTTTATCGATATTAAATTAATCTTAAGATAAAGTTAACTAGTTAGTAGTTAGTTGCCTAGTTAGACTAGTTTTTAGTTTTAGTAAGTTTTAATAAGAAACCAGATAGACTTCATTCTTATAAACGGTAGATTCAGCACAACTGTCAAAAGAGCTTGCACATACCCCGGAGCAGATGTCCCTTCTGACCACGTACTATTAGTGGCCGTCATAAAGATCGCTCTTTCATGCAAGAACAAGCCGAAACTCAACAACAGATAGCACTGGATAAACTGAAAGACCCAGTGATACAAGCAGAAATAAGCAATAAAATAAACGCACAAATTCAAATATTAACGACAAATATTACCGAAGATATAACACCAACATGGAATACGATTACCAGTGCTGTAACAGACATCATGAAAAACAACTTAGGGTACAAACGAAATAACAAGAGGCAAAAATGGATGACAGAAGAAATCCTATTACTAATGGAAGAACGACGAAGACACAAGAATAACCAAGATGGCAGCAATATGTATGAAAACATTAACAGGCAAATAAAAGCAAAAATAAGAAGAGCAAAAAATGAATGGCTTAAGCAACAATGTATCGATCTAGAACATTTACAAAGACAGCACGACGACCGTAATTTACATAAAAAGCTTAAGGAGACTGCTGGAATATACAGAAAACGAAGACCAACTACCATAGTTAATCAGGATAACCAGATAGTGCTGGGTGAAAAGGAGAAAATTGATATATGGGAAAATTATATCCAGGAGCTCTTCCATGACGAAAGACCCATGAGTGAAGTTTATACAGACGACCAGCTGACTGGCCCTTCAATCACCAAAGAGGAGATAGAAAAAGCAATATTAAATTCAAAAAACAATAAGGCACCTGGACCAGATGAGATCCCGTCAGAAATACTCAAATTACTAGATGAAAGGGGAATTTCAGCACTACACAAAATATTTAATTTAATTTATGAAACTGGCTGCTATCCTCAACAGTGGTTACGCTCTACCTTTATTCCCCTGCCCAAGAAAGTCAATGCAAAAAGATGTGAGGATCACAGACTCATTAGCCTGATGAGTCACACTTTAAAGATATTCTTAAAAATACTACATCAAAGATTATACAAAAAATGTGAATGGGACATCAGTGATTCCCAGTTCGGGTTTAGGCAAGGTTTAGGAACACAGGTACTGGTCCAAAATTGTTACGATCAGAGGAAGGATGTGTTCCTATGCTTTTTAGATTACCAAAAAGCGTTTGATCGTGTCCAACACCATAAGTTAATGCAGATTCTCAAGAAAGTTGATATAGACCAAAAAGACATAAGATGCATTGAAAACTTGTACTGGCATCAAACGGCACAGCTAAAAATAGACAATTCTATATCCAAGCCCATACATATAAGAAGAGGCGTTTCGACAGGGATGTGTGCTTTCCCCTCTTTATTTAACATTTATTCGGAAGCCATATTTCAAGAGTCTTTGGAGGATGCAGAGATGGGAATCAAGGTGAATGGAGTATTGATCAACAACATACGATATGCTGATGATGGTGTCTTAATTTGTGACAACATAGTCGATCTTCAACAACTTGTCACTATAATCGGAGAATACAGTGAGCGAATGGGACTATAGATTAATACCAAAAAGACCAAATTCATGATCATCTCCAGAAACTTGGATGCACTTGAAAACTCCACCATAACACTGAATAGTAAATCCATAAAAAGAGTGAGTAAATTTAAATACCTGGGATCGTGGCTTTTTGAAGACTGGGCATCGGACAGGGAAGTAAAATGTCGCATTGAGCAAGCTCGACAAGCTTTCGTAAAATTCAAGAAGGTACTGACTTGTTCTGAGTTCGATCTTCAACTGAGACTAAGGTTTACTAAGTGCTACGTATGGTCAATGCTGTTATATGGCGTAGAGGGCTGGACACTCAAAACGAGAGATATAAACAGATTGGAAGCTTTCGAAATGTGGCTTTATCGCCGTATCCTAAAAATACCATGGACAGCGAAAATCACAAATATAGATGTCCTTAAAAGAATAAACCAAGAACGCCAACTTTTCGAAACCATCAAGAAAAGGAAAACGGCGTATCTAGGTCACATCATGCGAAATGAAAAATACCAGTTCCTCCAACTTATAATCGAGGGTAAAATTGAAGGCAAGAGAGGAATGGGACGCAAGAAAATGTCCTGGCTCCGAAACATAAGGCAATGGACAGGGATTAACGACATACAATCTCTGATACATATTGCAAGAAATAGAGAATTATTGGAAAATGTGATCGCTAACATCCATTAGTGGATTTGCATCTGAAGAAGAAGAAGAAGTTTTAGTTAACTAGCCTATATAACTGCCTGTACAGGTCGGCTTATGCTGTCTGCGAGGTTGCCATTCCTCGTCTAGAGCTAAGCGAAGTTCGTTAATTAAGGCTGGTGCGACTTCGCAACCTCTAATATTTTTACCAAGCATGTCTCAAACGTGCTCTATTGGGTTCAGATCTGGCTAACGCGCTGGCGCGTTATACTAACTTTCGTTGCATAGTGGGGTCGCGAATTATCGTGCATTAATACAAAATCATCGCCGATATATTGAGAAACGGGTACTACGTGGTTCGCTAAAATTTCCTCAATATATCGGTGTGCAGTCAACGAACCCTCAATAAATTACACTTCGGTGTGCGCCTTTTGGGATATTTCTGCCCATATCATTACCGAACCCCCTCCATGGCTAACGCAGGGACTAGAAGCGCACTCCGCAAATCTCTCTCCAGTTCGACGCCATACTCGTTCTCTCCCATGTGATGAGTGAAAACAGTATCTCGACTGATCCGTAAAAAGAACATTACTCCATTGTCCTAAACTCCAATGTAAATGTTTCTTGGAAAATTGTAGTCTAGCCTCTCTGTGCCGTGGAGGTAATTTGGGCCCACTTGCTAGTCTGTAACTTTTCAAATCAAATTCATGTTATCTTCAACGAACTGTAAATACACTTAAGTTCTTGCCTCGAACCTCTTGTAGCCGATTTCTTCTTTGCACCGCTGTTAAAGTACGATCCCGCAAAGCGTTGACTCGTATAAAACGATCATCTAGCGGTAGTTTTGTGCTTTCTGTCACTTCCCTCTTTACGCTTGTTTGTTCCAGTTCATTTAAAATGTTCCACTACCCTTTGGATGGTAGAGCGATAAGTATGTAGTACTACACACTCATCGTTTACTAAGTACTAAGTACTTGCTGTAACGATTTTAGTGGAGCTGTAGGTATTTCGGACCCCACTGTGTAGTTAAAGGGTGTTAAAATTTTGAGGTGGTTTTTGTTATTTGCTAATATGGCAGATTCTAAGAGACAATATCAGCGTCCACTAACAACAAAAGAATTAGAAAGTTAAAGGGTGTTAAAATTTTGAGGTGGTTTTTGTTATTTGCTAATATGACAGATTCTAAGAGAAAATATCAGCGTCCACTAACAAGAAAAGAATTGAAATGGGAAGCTGAAAACCTGTGGGCGAATGAAGATGAACCGGAGACCATCGAATATGATTTTGGGAACTCATCAGATGAAGACGATGATTATCTACGCAAAGAAATATCGCTGGCATACTGGGAAAAAATAATCATCGTTGGACCACACAGGCACCAGCAAGACAAGGACGCCCAAGAAGGGATAATTACGCTTTACAGTTGCCTGATCTAAAAAATAAAGCAAGAAATGTTAGTAGCCCTGTTGACGCTTGGAATTTACTATTTTCTCAAGAGATTGTAGACATTATTGTGCTGCATACAAATCAAGAAATTTTTAGGAAGTGTCAGAGTGGGTTGTCGCAGAGTTACAAAAAAATAACCAACAACACAGAAGTTAAAGCATTTATTGGTTTGTTGTATCTCGCTGGTGCATTACGAGTCTCAAATTGTAATTTAGATGAGCTTTGGTCAATAAAATATAGCAATGGGCTATTTCGGGCAACCATGTCCCAATAAAGGTTTCAGTTTTTAGCTATTTCCTTAAGGTTCGACGACAAAACAGACAGAAATGCTAGAAAATTTTTTGGCAAGTTTACCCATATTCGCCAAATATGGGACATTTTTATAAATAATTGCAAGCTATACTACACCCCTATGAGAACTGTACAATTGATGAGCAACTCGTAAGTCAGTTTTCGTAGATAATGTCCATTACAAATTTACATGGCCAACAAACCTGATAAATATGGAATGAAAGTAATGATGATAAATGATTCGAAGACATTTTATATTCTGAATGCCATTCCATACGTTGGAAAAGCTGATGTTGAGAATAATGAGTTAGTTCCTACATATCATGTCAGAAACCTTTCCAAACCAATACACGGTACTCACCGTAACATAACAATGGATAACTGGTTTACGTCAATACCTCTAAGTGAACAAATGTTGGAACAGTATCAGCTAACAATCCGTGTAACGTTGCGAAAAAATAAACGGGAAATACCTCAGAAGTTTACACAAAAAACAGGTACATCCATATTTGCTTTGAACAGAAACAAAACGCTAGTTTCGTACACTCCAAAGGAAAATAAAGTGGTACTTTTTCTTATCAATTTTTCATCTTGCGTCATCACGTAATACCTTGACCGGAAAACCAAACCTTATATATTCCTACAATGAAACAAAGGGTGGCACAGACACCTCTGATCAGATGTGCCACTCTTACACGACTTCCCGTAAAACTAGACGCTGGCCTCTCAGATTATTTTTCAATATGTTGGATGCTAGCGGAATAAATGCTATGATTATATTTTCACTTGCAAATCTCCAATGAAAAGATGACCGAAAACACGATAGAAAAAATTTTTATTTTTTTTTCATTTTTAAAAGAACGATCGACAATTGACAATAAAAGATCGACACATCTGCCATTGTTGAACATGCTTTGGGAAGCGGAGAACATCGAATACTGTTTGAAGAAACGCAGATGCTGGACAAAACTGCACAGTACTACCCACGGTTGTATCGGGAAGCGGTGGAAATATATAAGCACCCAAATAATTTTAATCGGATAGAAGGACTGAAAATTAACGAGACATGGATACCAATATTAAAATCCACAAACACCCTTCCCGCCAAACACAAAGAATGAAAAGCAACTACAAATGACACGCCCCCTCAAGCCGAAACCAGTGGAGACGAGACGAGTGGAACATATAAATATTGCCTCCGTAGTACAATGCGGCCTCAGGTTCAGGTTACAAGCGAAGCAGTAACGTCTCCAGAAGATGCCAATCCCTAGTGTTGGCGAAACGTCGAGAACTAATCTCAGAAGACAACGGCCTAAGAGCACCGAACAAACAGTTTAACGTTTTTAAAAGAACTTTCAACTGCATTAATTGAACCGCACTTAAGGGAAAGACTACAAGTTACCAATTTGCCAACAACCCTACGTGTAAAAATTAGCGAAATATTTAGATTTAATGTACATCAAAGAGATAATTTTGATGTTAGTTTGCCTAAAAAGGTTAAATGTCGCTTTTGTCCTCGTGGAAAGGATAGAAAAACGAGTTCTGCTTATTCGTTCTGCCACAAACCGTACTGTTTAGAACATCGACCTCAATTATGTTATGTATATCAGAACCAAAGTTGAAGTGCCTGGTTATGAGTAAAAAATAATTATCCTATAGCAATATTTATGTTTTATTTTAGTTTAAGGGGTTTTTAAGAGATAAGTTTTATTTCCCTGGAATTTTGTTTAATTTTTTTGGTCATTTTTGAAAAAGTGTGATAAAAGAACTAGTTTATGTCTTTTTACGTTTATTAGATCTAATGAGAATGTCTTATTTAAATAAACATATTTTGAAAATAAGATATTGTTGTTTCTTGTTTTGTACCACATACCACAGAAAAAATAAATGCGTAACATTTATTATAAAATAAAACAATTAGGGGTTTCGAGACCTCACTGTGCAGTCTACGTTAGATGAACAAATCTGTGCTGTTCTAGACTCAAACCAAATCAAAACGCACCGACTACTCTGGCAATTATAGGAAAAATAATCACCAGAGTATGCTACTAGAGACCTCTAGTGAGGAAAGATAAAGTTAAATGTGTCGATAGCAATTAAAGTAAACTGTATACCCAAGCTTAATCAAGCCATTCAGAGCGATGCTGGGAATATTTATATTCCACTATGCAGCAACATTTTACCCATATAAATTACCATTATTCTTGTACTCATTGCGTCGGGTAAGGACGATAAATATACGAAGACGGTTGCGTTTCGATTTAATTTGAGTCTCTTACCACTTATACGTGTTTGTACCATCTTCAAAGAGCTCTAGCTCTTTTAGGAAGCATTTTCGGACCAAGACCATTTACATCTCATTTACCCATATTTTTAGCAAATGGAAGCAGAGCACATTCAAGAAATTAATAACATCAACGCACAAATCAGTCAGATGAAATCAAACCATGAATTAGTTTTACAAAAATTAGAAGCCACTTACAATGAAAAACTAATTGCAGAGTACGAAAAATTTGTAAGTTTTGAAAATAAAATGAACAGAATGTTAACTGATGTTAATATGAGATATACGGAGTTACAAAAAGCCAAAGATGACTCTGAGGCGGCCATTACTGAAGACTATGAAATAAAACTGCAGGAAGCAAAACTTGCCTATGATGAAGTAAGTGTTGATATTTCATATTTTATTTTTAGTTAGCTCAAATATTGTGTATTTAGGTAACACAAATGTTTAGGAGATTTGCCATTTTCAATTAAACTTTATTTTATAATTCATATACTAATATGAAGTTAGAGTTATACGATACAGGAAGCAGACAAAATAATATTAGTTAAACCTGTTTTTCAGAATATGTATGGAATTTAGAACTATTTTTGTTAAAAAAAACGTATAATTATGCAAAAATAAAAGTAATTAAGATTAATTTTATTGTCCGGGATATATATATGTCCCAGTCAGACTTTTTTGGAACATATATGTGGGACTATAATAACCCATCAGATACCAAATTATTACTTTATTTTATCTAGTAACGAAAAATCGAAAATACATAATACATAAAATCTCAAATTAACCAAAAACCAAGATCAATATTTAATGTAAATTAAAAGGCGTGAAACATGTTTTTCACAAGGGTTCATTGCAGCTCTAACATATTGTAGTGGTTCGTTTTTCTTTTTTTTTTTTTGAGAAGAACATCATTGACATACTTTATGGGTCTTTTCTTCGATACGTAAAAAATCTTCCACGTTAAACATTTGTTTTTGTTTCTTTGCTGGAGGACGTCCAAGGGAAGTCAAGGCTTTCCTTTTAACAGCAGCATGGCTTCTTCCCAATAAAATAAGTCCCTTAGCTACACTTATTAGAAAAGACAAAAATGCTGCTTTTTCGTTCCTTTTCAGATCATTATGTCCTACATAAGAATTTCCAACAGCCATCATCAGAAAGCAAAAAATAACTTTCTTCCACCATTTGATAGACTTCCTACCAAAGTCATACAAGCACAAAATATGATCTGTTAGGTTCACGCCGCCCATTTTCTTATTGTACATGTCGAGAAGTTCAGGACATCGTACATCCATTCTTTATTTTTTGTTTCACTTCTACTTGCTTACCTTCAAAGCAATTGCTTACTGATAATACGTCTTTCGTATCTTGCCATCTGCAAACTATGGTGCCGTGGTTATTTACTCTGAATTCTGAGTCAACACAATTCAACTTTCCCACAAATTTAGGCACATTTACTCTCGTTGCAATTATTCTAATAGATTGGAACAATCTGTCAAAACACAATATTAAATCAGTTCCTCTTCAATCTCTCGTGCAAAATGTTTGACAATATCTTGTATACTGTATTTAGGAGAGTTATTTCGCGGTAATTATTGCACTCCAGTTGGTTTTTCTTTTTTAACGGGCAAATTAAGCCTAAGCTCCATTCTTTAGGCATTTGCTTCTTAGACCAAATTTTACAAACAATTTCTCGCATCACCTTGGTGAGCTGCTCTTCACCGTGCTTAAATAACTCTGCTGGAATGCCATCGCTGTCTGGTGATTTGTGGTTCCTTAGTTTTCTACAAATATTTTTACTTCACCTACCTAGGTGGGTTCCACGAGTTCCTTATTTCGGAATTCCAGCTCTATATTGTTAGTATGTTCGGTTTTTTTTGTTGTATGCGTTTTTCCTCTATCCTTAAGTTGTTATATCTATTATATCTATTGTTGTCCTAGTTTTCCATTATTGCATGGTCCTAAATGCCTCGTTCTTCTCATCTGTTATTTTTTGCAGTCTTGGTCGAACCGTTATTCCACATTTCCGTGCTTGACTGATCGACTGCCCAGGTGTGTTCTAGGGTTTCTTTTATATGTGACTGGAACTGTTATTCTTTGTTTTCATTTTTTAGCATATTATGTAAATTATATTTTACTTCTCTAGTGAGCCTTTTTTTTTCTTGGCATTGGAAATTCTTTGTCATAACTTTGGCCCTACCATGAAATGGTCCGAGTCAATATTTGCGCCTCTGTAACTTCTGACGTCCATTAGGTTTGTTAAGTGCTTTCTGTCAATTATAACATGGCCAATTTGATTTGTGGTGTGTCCATTTGGTGATATCCAAGTTGCTCTATGAATATTCTTATGATTAAAATATGTACTTCCCACAATTAAATCTTTGCAAGCTGCCATATATACTATATATATATATATATATATATATATATATATATATATATATATATATATATATATATATAATATATATATATATTTCTAGCTTAGTATCCTTTAAATATTTTCTAGTTAATGGAATTGAATCAAACCCAAGGCCAAGAACATGAAATTATAAAACAACAAATAGAAGATGACGCTGACAGAGAAATTTACGAACTAAAAGAATCTCATACAAAGGAATTAAAAGAGGAACAAGATATAAATGTTAGACTGAGAAGTGAAATATCTGTAGTTAAAAAGAAATATCTTTTATCTCAGAAAGAAGTAGAGGATCTCAAACACAAAGTTTTCACTATGGAAAACGAGCACATTAAATTCAAGAACTTTATTTATGAATTAGAAAAGGAAATAATAGACTCAAAGAAAGAAATTCAAGAAAGAGATCAAACTATTGAGGAAAAAGAAAAAAGAATATTTACCTTGAAGAGTAAAAATCAAGAGCTTGAAAAGTTTAAGTTTATTTTGGACTTTAAAATTAAGGAACTTAAGTCACAAATCGAACCAAAGGAAAGGATTATCACCGAACAGGTACGACTTTCTAAAACATATATGTATATGTTGTTCCGGATTTTTATTAGAATTCATAGGTGTCAAGGTTTATATAATAAGTTTTTCTAACTTTCCAGAATGTTCAAATTAACGAAATGGTTAGAGAATTAGAAAACCTTCAAAAAGTTATTTTAGGTTTAGATCTACAACTAGGTGAACTAAAGGAAAAGCTAGCAGCGGCTAGTAATGAGGTCCGAAAAGAAATTGAAAAGAACAGAAGAATGAAGAAATCGTTACAAGATATACGAGTCGATATTCACCACGCCAGTGGGTATATACAGAATGTTCCAATGTTACAGAAATCTGTTAAGGTAAATATCTGTACCTTTTTTATAATTTTCATATTTTATTTAATTGCTTTAAATCATATAGTAAGTTTTTAAGGATTAGAATTCACAGGTGTCAAGGTTTATATAATAATAAATAAATATTATATATCATCATCGTTAATCCCTTCCGGTTTAAAGCTTACGCATTCGCGTATTATTCTATTCTGAGGTGGATTACTCCCCTTTCTCTATATTTTGGTTACAACTGATCGTGTGTACAAGCTGATTTCGTTATATTTCTCCAGTTATTCCTATTTCTACATTTCTCTTTTCATTGTTTTATTTTTATGCTTTAATTTTCTAACCACTGACTTCTAGGTGTAAAAATCTACAAAAAGAATAAATAATAATGGATTCCGCCGATTGGAAAAGAATATGAAACATGAGCACGTGACGAAAAACAAAAAGCAAATCTATTCGCTATATACTTGGAGGATGCATTCCAAAATAAAGAAATATAAAATAATCATCAATCCTAAATCGATGGTGATAAGAGAACTGAACACGATATGAACAATACTGATCAAGTAATAATAAAATCTACTACCCGTAAAAAACTAACCAAATCAATCAAAAACAACATCAATTTTAAAAAGGGTCCGTGATTTGACTTGATAACAGGATAAATAAAAATGTAGGAATATGATCAATAAATTAGGCTGGCGATCTTACTGCAATTTAAAGTGTAATAAGCAATGGAATAAATTACAATTCGAAGGACCACCTACTAACGTGAGAATAAAAGAATACATTAACAAAAATATAATTGAATGACTAACTTTTTTGCTATAACTTAATTCTGGTCAAAATTTTTTCATAGAGTTCTTATATTTAAACAGCCCATTCTCTGTCCGATTCACACAAGTCCGCGCAGCACAAAATACTATAGCACTGTTGCAATTTTAAGGTCACTAACTAGGACATTAACTAAGGATGTTTTCTTTAGTTTTAATATCGTTACATGTAGCTTTTAAACTATAAGGGAGACACACAATAATTATATAAAATATGCGAGAGTTTTTACTTTACACTAATTATAGACTTATCCAGAGCTCGCTGAATTCAAGTTGATACTGATAATACAAATACGCAATAAACTAAAAAACAAGCGTCCAAATTGGTTGGTTTCTAAGTTGATAGAGCGTCCACCCTGGGAAGATTATAACTTATTACTAACAGCATATAAATTATAACTGCCATGCCTACCAGTGGGTTGGTGGAGGACAATTTCGAAATTTATATTACTTAGGTAAAACCATCTTTTGAATGTTTGCTACCCGGGATTTCTTGGGTACTCGGGTAAGTTTTCGGTAGGTAAAAATATCTTGCAAAAGTTCAAACATCTTGTAAAAATTATTTTGTTACAAGGGGCGTAACACTTGGATAAATATCTTACAGAAATTTGGTCAATTAGCATTTAGATCTCACATTAGTATTTTGATATCTCTATTATTTATTTTGTCAATCACACTTTTGATATCCGAATAAAACTTTTCTAGCTCGTCGTCACTGCTTTCTGCTGTTGGTGCATATACTTGAATGAGGTTTATATCAGAAGATTTGGACCTCAATGGTCTCAGAACGTAGTATATGGATTTATTACAACTATCAACCTGTTTGTAGACTATTAAGGCTACTCAATTTCGATTATGATGACTGTTTTCACCTGAGTAGTATGCTATATGGTCATCCTATTGCCAGATTCAATAGGGTCGGTTAGTTCTTCTTCTACTTTTATTTTATTGTGTTGTTTTGGTAGATATTTTCAATGGTTTTAATTAATCCCAGAGGTATCTCTCTTGCGTACAATAAGTGATAAGGTCTTCTGAAGGTCCACAAAACATAGATATGCCAGTCTGTTGTATTTTAATGATTTTTCTTGCACTTGCCTCAATATAATTATAGCGTGGGTGCATGGTCTTCCCGACCTGAAACCGTGTTGGTTTTCTTCTAGTGTTATAATTTCATTCAGTTGATTTGTTATCACTTTGGTTGTTAATTTTATTGTTGGGTTTAATGAATTAATTCCTTTGTAATTTTCTGGATCCAATTTGTCTCCCTAAGAGAAGTATTAGGATGCTTCATCTCCATTTTTAAGGAATTCTGTTTAGTTCTATTATTTTTTGGATGTTTTAATAGTTAGTTGGTCAAATCTGGTCCTCCGTAATTTAGGAGTTGATTTTCTATGTTTTAATTTCTTTAATGCTATCTTTACCTCTTCTTCCTTAATATTTATTTCTTCGTTTGTCGTCAACTCTCGTGTTAGTAATTCATTATTGTCACATTTAGCAAATAGGGATCGAAAATAGCCTACCCATGTTTCCTTTTTAATGTGTTTCGTTTTTATTAGTTCGTTCATCTCTTTTTTTTTGTCCCCTGATCAGTCTCCTTATTTCTTTTTGGTGTTCCGTAGAAGTCGTGTTCCATCTGTTATGAGAAGCTTTGCCAGTGTTCCCTTTTTATTTGTCTAACTAAAGTATTAATTTCATTTCTGATGCATTTACAGTGGTTATTTGCCTGTTGTGTTGGTTGTGTTCTGTGTTGTAAAAAGGCTTTCTTCTTTTCTTCACATTTTGTCTTCACTTTCTCTCTAAACCATAGTGATAGAACCTTTTTTGATATCTTAGTTTTCGTTACTTTCCTCTTTCCCAGTGATTCTGTTGCTGCGTTAATTATGTTATTTAAGTTTTTTCAGCTTTCCTTGATGTTATCGTTTTCTAATATTTTATTCCCAGCGATCTTCTCTGTTGTGCTTTTTCTGTATAAGGATTCCGTGGATTCCGTATTTAGTCCTTCAACTTTGATTTTTAATTGCTATTTAACTGGGAATAAGCCACAATTAAAGAGAAAAATACGTTTATTGACGTTTCAATTTCCACTTTCAAACGTGGACGTTTCAAATTGTTTATATTGAATTTACTGTTTGTATTTTGAGAACGATTTCCGAAGTTGAAAATTGAAACGTCAATAAACGTATTTTTATCTTTAATTGTGGCTTATTCCCAGTTAAATAGCAATTAATTTAAAATGCCACAAGAAAATAGCTTCAGAACAGTATTAAGAAACTTTGATTTTTGTTTGTGGTTGGTGCCGCTCTCATGGGTATGAAGGATTTTAAGATGTCTTATTTTACATAATACTAGTATATGGTAGCTAGCTACATCTGTTGAAATGAGGCATCTTACGTCGATTATTTTCGATGGATGTATATCTCTGTTGGTTATAACATAATCTATTATAGATCATTGTCCACGGGTGTTATTAAATGTATATTTGTGTTGGTCATTGTGGTCAAAAAAATGTTTTATTTATTCTATATAATTTATATATATATATATATATATATATATATATATAATATATATATATATATATATATATATATATATTAGTGGCTCTCTTGGGCTTAGGTTCATAAAAAAAATATTTTGATACTAAAACATTTTTATACATATTTTTTCCGACTAAAATTTTAGTCAATATTACTTCTTGAAAAAGGCATGGATTTCCTGCCGAAATGTCTTAGTATCAAACTAATTTTTTTTTATGAACCTAAGCCCAAGAGAATCCACTGAAAAATATATATTAGCACAGCAAATGACCATGTGGTCTAAAGTAAATTAAATGTTATTTAATTTACTTTAGACCACATGGTCATTTGCTGTGCTAATTTTATAAGTTCATATATGTTGTTAGTTACTTAATTGTTTATACAAGATCAGCGTATTATGTCCATTTACTTAAGTTTCATTCACATTATTGTTAATAACTTTGACTGCTACATGTCTTTTTAAGGTAACAATTAACATCGTTTCCATGATTGTGTGGTTCTCATATTGTACTTTTTAGATGAACTGATGATGCTTTCAAAACTCGAAAGCGAAACGTCTTCAAAATAGATAAAGTAGCCCATCAACTTTGTCTTTTATTTCTCCACCTAGAGACCGATATAAGAACCCACCACTCGTCTGAGTGATCCTTATATATATTGGATTGACGGTCGTACTACTTTTTCCGATATATATATATATATATATATATATATATATATATATATATATATATATATATATATATATATATATATATCTTCTTCTTCAAGTGCCCTGTCCGTTGCGAACGTTGGCTATTAACATGGCAATTTTGATCTTGTTTGCGGCGCTTCTGAATAGTTCGACCGATGTGAGCCCGAACCACTTCCGCAGATTTTGGAGCCACGAGTGTCTTCTCCTGCCTGGCCCTCGCTTACTGTCTATTTTTCCCTGGACAATCAATTGTAGCAGACGGTACTTATCGTGTCTCAATATGTGGCCTAGATATTCAAGCTTTCTTTGTTTAATTGTATTCACGATTTCTTTCTCCTTTCCGATTCTTTGGAGTACCTCTATGTTGGTGACATGTTCGGTCCAGGATATACGAAGAATGCGTCGGTACACCCACATTTCGAATGCTTCTAGTTTTCTCGTTAGCGTCTCCGTCAGCGTCCAGGCCTCCACGCCATACAGCAAGATCGGAAAAATGTAGCATTTAACTATACGTAGTTTTAGGGGAAGAGACAAATCCTTGCTTATGAGGAGCTTTTTCATATTGCTAAATGCTGCTCTAGCTCGTTCTATTCTCGCCTTAATTTCTATGGTCTGTTCCCATTTTGCATTTACGTTGGTGCCAAGGTACACATAAGATTCTACATGGTCAATTAATATGTTACTTATCCGTAATTGTCGAGCAGGTTGTTGCTTTTTGCTTATCAGCATCCACTTTGTCTTCTTGAAGTTGAGGCTCAGGCCGTATTCCTCACTAACTGAATAAAGTCTTTCCATTACTTGTTGTAATTCGTCTATGGTACTGGCAAGGATCACCGTGTCGTCGGCGTATCTTATATTGTTCGTTAACTCGCCGTTTATTTTAATGCCCTCATTTGCATTTTCCATACATTTGTTAAATATTTCCTCGGAATACATATTGAATAGGAGTGGGGATAATATACACCCCTGACGGACACCCCTTTTGATCTGCACGCTTTCAGTGAGTTCGTTGCCAATTTTTGCTCTTGCTGTTTGACCCCAGTATAGGTTTGCCACAATTCGAATGTCCTTGTCGTCAATACCTGTCTTTCGCAGAATACCTATCAATTGTTCATGATTGACATTGTCAAATGCTTTTCTAAAATCTACAAAGCACAGATACACGTCTTTATCAACGTCTCTACACCGTTGTATAAGCACCTGGAGAGCGAAAATTGCTTCTCTAGTTCCAAGTGCTTTCCGAAAACCAAACTGCGATCTATCAATATTTGACTCACATTTATCATATATTCTTCTGTGAATGATCTTAGTGAACGCTTTAGTGACGTGATTGATCAAGCTTATGAGCCGGTAGTCATCACAAATCTGGGCATTTGGTTTCTTCGGGATTGTAATAAATGTTGACTGTAGCCAGTTCTCCGGGATTTTACCGCTATTATATATGTTGTTAAAAAGTACAACTAGATTGTCAAGGAACTGTTTGTCTGATTTACATAGGATCTTTAATATTTCGCAGGGTACATTGTCCGGACCTGCTGACTTATTGTTTTTTAGTGCTGCAATGGCATCTTCTATCTCCGATTTAAGAATTGAAGGTCCTGTTTCTCCTTCTCCATATAGGTGATCATCAGTCCTGTTAGATGCAAATAATTTTTCTATGTATGATTTCCATGTTTTTAAGATCGTTGATGGCTCCGAGATAAGATTTCCATCGCTATCTTTTATGCTGTTGGGTGACTTATTGAATTTCCTCTTGTTTGTCATCGATTTTATTTTTTTGTGCATATTGTAACTGTCGTATTTTCGTTCGTATTGTTCTATTTCCCTGCATTCGTTGGAAAACCATTTTTCTTTGGCTTCTCGAATTTTCGTTCTTATGGTTTTGTGGATCTGCTGGTATTTTTCTGCATATATATATATATATATATATATATATATATATATATATATATATATATATATTGTATATATATATATATATATATATATACTAATAAGTTCGTTATTAACGTTACTTGATTGCGTAATCGGGCAGTAACATCTCCTAATATTATCATCTTCCCTCTGACTTGATCTGCTACTTGTGATAATTGGTGATAAAACGTTTCCCTTGTTATTTTAGGCTTGTTATTTTCTGTGTAGTATACTCCGATGACATTTAGGTCTTCCTTTTTTATTCTTATCTTTGCTGTTACAATTCTTTCTGATATGTATTGAAACTCTTTGATGTGATTTTAGTATCTTTGGTGTATTAGTAAGGCTACACCTTCTTTGGTCCTATCTTCTTTTGCTACTTCACTGTAGATGAGTATATATTCACCTAATTTGGATTGTTCTTTTCCTTCCATTTTTTTTTTTCGTCTAGAGCACAAATGTCTATTTCTTTCTTTTTCAGCACTTGGGTTATTTCTTGGGTTTGAGTTGAGCAATCACCAAGTAGTAATTCCCATCTGTGTTTTGGATATTTTTAACTTGTCTTGATTTCTTGCTGTGGTCGTCTGTATAGTATCAATTCGATTCGGAGGCTGTACATTATTTCTTTGGACAGTATTCCTTTTTACGATTGGTAGGTTGCAAACCTTGCCAATTACCCTCCATATTTTATCCGGGCTTGAGACCGGCTGTGGTAACCGCAGAGCTACTCAATCCACCCCGCAATCACTCCAGACAGAGTTAAAAAAAATAAATTCTAAAAGCATAAAATAATTTAAGACACATTTAAGTTCTTATGTTTACTTCTGTTAACATAATATTTAATATGTGCTCTACTTTTAAATATAATTTAATTTATATTTTGAGAATAATTTCCAAATTGGAAACGTTAAACTAAATGTATTTTTACTTAAAATTGTGATTAATTATAATTAAACAGATCACAGAATGTCAAATTTATATTATTATGCTACTTGTTTTGGCTGACATCACCATCACCGCAGATTTAGAATAAATAAACTTCTTCCGTTTATTATTTTTAAACTTTTTGGCAGAAAAAAAATATTAAACTACATAAACAATAAATTCTAAAGTCCATTTATCTCGGAAACATTTTACATTTTTTGTTGGTGTCTTTTGACTAATCCACCATCATTTTAAGAACGACGACTGAGCTTCGTGTACATGTCGGCAGTTTTTGTCAACAGAAATTATTTATACAAGTTTTACTCATTAAGACAATCATCGCCGTAGGGTGTTTTTTTATCTGCTGTTATCTCACTGTTGCCGTAAATTCCTGCAGTTATATGTGTGTATATATTTCAGGACATGTATCATAAATACAACGCAGATAAAGACTTCGAAGCGACACAGAAAGAAGACACAGAGGCCAAGAACGAATTCTTGCGGCAGAGAGACTTCTTGGAACGTACCGTTGCTACACTACATGAGCAGGTAAAATTTACATTAAAAATAAAGTTTTATTGGCTGTTTTATAGAAGGTATATTTCTTCGTGTTCACTAACTTTATCTCACAGAAATAAGATTGTTGAAGAACATGTGGCAAAATACTGTTTTTTTTTTTGTTTGATAAATATAGTTAAGCCAGATAACTACTTTGTGTTTCTAATTTTGAAATTATCTTCTCTGCATCAATAATTTTCTGATTACAGTGTATTTTATGTATGAGAGAGTAATAAAACAATAAATTATGTATGCAAATCCCTAAACTGTTGATACGCGTGACTCAATGAAAAACAGATATTTGTCAACAAGTTTACAGAAGTATATAGGAAAACAATTTTAAATTGAATATGGCCACCAGGTATAAAGGTTGGAGCAGAATAGAATACAATAGTTGTGAGGGTTACTAATCCCTAAATAAGGTTGCCAGTGTCGGAGTGATGGAGGTTAACAGGTACTAATGAATTTGCAAGAAATGTAAGATGTTTATTTTATTGGTTATATATAACCAATAAAATTTTAATAAGTACCTACCTATTTGCAAAATAAAGTTTAATTCTTTAGATAAAATAAAACGTTTTATTTTATCTGAAATGAGTGCATTCCACGAAGTAAGGGTTTCAACAATCAAACATTTAATTCTTTAATTCCAGGAATCTACGACAGTAATTGACTAGATAATTACCTTCTAAACTTATTCCACAGAAAATGTGATAGTGGGTTTTTCCATTTTGTAGGAAGGTCCAAGTGGCGTATTCAAAATTCTTAACAGTTCACTAAAAGTAGGTACTTCAGTTGCAAGGTGTAGTTTATTGTGTATACTAGTGTTATGGAAAATTTGGAAGTGCCGTGTAAACGCCGAAAAATTGGTCCTTTAACAGTTAATGAAAAAACATTAATATTTAATTGTTTTAAATCATTTACAGACAAACGTTTATGTGAAAGTGTTGATGAGACCGTTGAGTTAGTTAGCAGTACACTTGGTGTTGGGAAATCTACGATTTACAGAGTTATTAAAGAAGAGAAATGTGGTAGTTTTCAAATGCCACGTAATGCTCCAGGGAAACCAAAATTTCAAATAGAATATCATTTTAAAGAAGGACTTCGACGGAAAGTGCATGAATTCTTCTTTAGACAAGAATTTCCAACATTGGATAAAGTTCTTGTCTCAGTTCGAGATGATAAGGATTACCCAGAAATGAGGCGAAGTACGTTATGGAAACTTTTAAAGGAAATAGGCTTCCGCTGGAAAAAGAATCCCAGAAGGTCTATTTTATTAGAAAGAAGCGATATTGTCATATGGAGAAGACATTTTCTAAGAACCATAAAGGAAATGAGAAACCAAAAAAGAAAAATATTTTATCTTGATGAAACATGGATCAACGAGGGTCATACACCAAATAAATTTTGGCAGGATCAAACTGTTAAAAGTCAAAGGCACGCTTTTGTAAATAACTTATCTACTGGTTTAAACCCACTATCAGGAAAGGGACGCAGGCTGATAATAGTACACATTGGCAGTTCAGACGGTTTTGTTGAAGGTGGTTTATTAACTTTTGAATCAACTCGTACCGGTGACTACCATGAAGACATGAACGCTGATGTCTTTCAAGAATGGTTCGAACAAATGATAGATCTTCTTCCTAAGAACTGTGTAATAGTAATGGATAATGCAAGTTATCACTCCAGACTTATAGAAGGACTGCCCACAACCAAGTGGTTAAAAAAAGACTTGCAGAATTGGCTGAGTTCAAAAAATATTACGTGCCATCCCGGATCTATAAGAAAGGAACTTTATTCGTTGTGTGCCCTTTATAAAGAAAAATTTAAAATATACGAAATTGATGAAATTGACAAAAATCGTGGAATGACAGTACTTAGATCCCCACCATATCATTGTGAATTAAACTCGATTGAACTGGTATGGGCACAGATAAAGAGTGACGTTTTAAGAAAAAATACCACTTTTAAAATTCATGATGTTAAACAGTTGTTTTTGGAGGCCGTAAATAATGTAAAACCTGAAAACTGGGAAATGGCAGTAAATCACACTATTAAAGAAGAGGAAAAAATGTGGAAGCTGGACAATATTACTGATAAAATGATCGAGCCAGTTATAAATCTTTGTTCTGAAAGTTCATCTTCTGAATCTGATTTGGATTTGTAACAAGTAGCTGTAAGTTTTATATTAATATTTTTATTCATCTATTTAACATACCTTAGACGGTTTTAAAAACTCTTTTTCTCTTTTGTAATTTTTAAAAATTAAAAAAAAAAATGTGAATTTTTTAAAACCTTTTTTAATGTAGGCCAGTCAGTTCTAATATAGTGTGTGATAAAAGAGGTCACTTTTGATTACATACACATAACACTTTATAACACTGAAATAATTTATTTATTTTTTACAATTATTCAAAGTAATTTTTCAATTAATCTTGAGCACGCCCATGGAGTGGTCGGAGGTACCAGTTAAAATTATGCTAATTACTCCCTCGTTCATAAAAATAAACTATAGTTAACGTACACTTATTATTTTCCACTAGCTTCTAACTCAAATTAGTTATGATTCCTTTATGTCTTTAGTTTTTGTTAAGATTAATTATAATATTAGATAATAAAAGATAATTGTAATGAAATCTTTCCATAATTCTATAAGATACAAATGACATGTATGCTAATTTGATACGAAAAATATCCAAGGAAAGTAGAATACTTCATATAATTTGTTAATTCATTGTCGGTAAGAACAAAAACCGAACTCGTATTAGTAAATTGTTCTTATGGAGTATTTTAGTGAACCTTCAAAGAAATTTGTTGTAACCTTACTTTATGGACGCAATACTCCATGTTAATAAACAACGTTCATGTCAAGAATAATAATGATGTGAATATGAGTCTGTGGTAGCGGATAGATACTCTTGTACGATTCCGGTATGAGGTAGCTTCAGGTGTGCAGCGCTGCCCACGTGAGCCATGGCTATCCCCCAACCCGTGCCAGGGGAAGTCATGTCCCCACCTTAAGATCCCTACCAAAACAAATAAATCCTCTCACATATCCATTCCCAAAGAGTAAACCTCACACGAAAGAAAAATTATTGGGGAAGACAACAGGAAACCAACCCAATTAACTTTCCCTAGTATAATCACAATGATAAAGGTAGATGGACCAATTTAAACCAGTGCGAAATAGGAAACCACATAATGTACTATAATGTAGAGATACTACAACAAGAAACACAAACAAAGTGACTATAATAGTAAATAAAGGAGTTAACAAATTTGTACTTAGTTTTATAGGACTATCAGAGTTGCAGTACCTACTCAAAATTAATACTAAACCAGTTAACGTGAACATTATTCAAGCATATGCCCCAACTTCGGAAAGCTCAGAGCAGGAAATAGAAATATTCTATAAACAATTGAAAATCCCTAAAACAGACCAAAAAACAAGAAGTAGATATCCTGCTAGGAAATTTCAACGTTAAAGTAGGCAAAGGAGATGTTGGCAATACTGTGGGGCACTTTGAACAAGGAACGTGAAATGATAGAGGAGACCGCCTTGTTCAGTTCTTCCAGGAAACGGATAGTGCAATAATAAACATATTTTTCTAATTATCACCTCGAAGACTTTACACCTGGAAATCTCCAGATGACTGTCCAAAAAACAATGATTGGAAACCAAATTGACTACGTCATCATCAACAAACGATTTCAGAATTCCGTAAAATCCGCAAAAACATATTCGGGAGCAGATGTTCTATCAAACCATAATCTTTTACTAGGACGTTTCAAACTCCACATGAAAAAAGTCCATAAAAGAAAAGCACAAAAATGTCCGGACATCCAGAAGTTGCTAGATAAAACCAGAAGAGACGAAGTCAAAGAGGAGATTAACAAGACAATAAACAGCATAATGGTAATCTCAGATATGAATCAAAAAAACATAAGTGTACATGATATCAGTAGAACAATCTGCTCTACGAAAATAAGAGAATACTTAAGAAATGGAGGCGATATATGAAAGAAGTATTCAAGGAAGAGCAAGAGACAGAAGTCAGTTTTTCTGGATGTTCAGAACCAGAGATAACGTTTAATGAAGTAAAATATACAATAAAAAGAGTAAAAACTAACAAAGCACCTGGACCTGATACCATATAAGCTGAACTATTGAAACTATTTGAAAACAACCAACTCAAACTCCTAACGAGTCTACTGAACAAAATCTATAAAACTGCAGAATTTCCTACAGATTGGCTAGTTTCCATCTTCATCCCTCTCCCCAAAAAAACAAATGCCACCAGATACTTTAATTACAGAATTATAAGCTTAATGAGCCATGCACTCAAAATCCTTCTTTATGTTATTTACTCTCGCACATATAGAAAACCAGAAGAAAACATTAGCAGTGTTCAGTTTGGGTTTAGAATCGGACCGGGAACGCGAGAGGACCTATTTTCCATACAAATATTGAAACAAAGAACTCGAGACGTAAACTGCATAGTCTACGCATGCTTTATAGACTTTAAAAAGCTTTTGACAAGTCGCAACATCAAAAATTATTTCAGATACTGAAAAAATCTAGTATTGATGACGCTTAATTTACACTTAATTAAAAATTTATACTTACAGCAAAAGGCAACTGTACGAGTAGACAACGAAACCTCACAAGAATTCACGATAAAACAATGAGTACATCAGGGTTGCATGTTGTCACCGACGTTGTTCAATACTTACTCGGAAATCTCGTTTAGGGAAGCTATTGATGGTTTAAGAGAAGGTATAAAACTCAATAGTGAAATCATAAACAATTTAAGATATGCGGACAATACGGTTTTGATTGCTGATAATACGGAGGATCTGCAAACATTATTAGACCGTATAGTGGAAGCCTGTGACAGATACGACATAAACTTAAACTGTAAGAAGACCAAAATTCTTGTAGTAAATAAAAACGACGTAATACTGCACCAATTCACAGCTAATAATGAACCCTTGAAAATAGTCGACAAAATTACTAATCTTGGATGCAGCCTAATTAAGGAATGGGACCACTCACAGGAAATAAGATGTCGTATAGAAAAGGCGAGAACTGTCTTCAACCGCCTCAGGAAGATTGTATGTAATATTCACCTGAACACTGATTAAAGAACAAGATTTTTGAGATGCTATGTATTTTCTACCCTTTTATATAAAGTCGAGGCCTGGACCTTAACGAAGGCAACATCCAAACCATTAGAAGTCTTCGAAATGTGGTGCTACTGCCACATGCTCAGAATTTTCTATATCCATCATGTTGTAAACAATACAATGATTCAACGTATAAATAAAGATCTGGAAATTATTCGTATCATGAAAATCAGAAAGATGACATACTTAGGGCATGTGATGCGCAATGAGAAGTATCAACTAATTAACTAATTTTACAAGGCAAGATACAAGGCAAAAGATCTCAAGGACGCAGAAGGACATCGTGGTTGAAGAACATGAGACAGTGGGCAGGAGGAATAACTACCATATATCTATTTAGAGCAGCTATCAACACAGTTGTATGGACCAACTTGATTGCCAATATCCATAGAGGATAGGCACCAAAAGAAGAAGAAGAATGTGGGTCGACTTCCACAGAAAATATCCACTTTTTTAATGCCAAAAATTTTGATACTATAATTTATCATAGGCGTGGCCACAGCGGGTTATGTGTGTGCCGTATAACCCACACTAACTTTCAGTTGTTAGTAGATGCAGCTCTCTGTTTTTTGTGCAGATGTTTTGACATCAACGATAGTACTAAGCCTGGATTGATAGAAACTGCATTCATTCCTAGTAGATTTTATCATTAAAAATGTGCGGAATATGCATCAAAATGCAAGTTGCCATGAATTTAGAACAGTAAGTTTAAGTTATAACGTGAATAAGTCCGTAGGTCTTCAAATACCAAAGAAAAAAGAGGATGAACTTAAAGCCAAAGACAAGCAGCGACAAAAAATTAAGATTATATGAAGAAACTAATTGATGTAATTATAGTTTTCGTAAAAGGTGAAAAATCTCTTCATGGCCATGATGAAATGGAAGAAAACAATGAAAATGGATTGTTTCTCAAAACTGTACAACTTCTTAAAAATACGACCTTACATTTAAGACATACTTAGAATCGGCCCCAAAAGACTGCACTTATCTTAGAAATTACATTTAAAATGATATTTTACTTTCTCCCAAAAATTTAATGGATATTCAGAAGGAAGTGAAATTGTCAAAAAGACAATCAGATTGTTTTTTTCTGTGATTTCAGACGAGACTTCTGATATAACTCGCCACGAACAGATTTCTTTTATAATGCATAAAATTCTCCAAATGATCTTCTTGAATCAAGGTAGAGACAAAACTTAGCTTCATCTGTGAAGCTAAGTTTTTGCACTGGGGTTTACCATTCTTGTAAACCCCAGTGCACATGTTGTGCCCACCTTAATTTAAGACCACGATTTCCATGACATAACATAAGAAGCCTCAATGGACGTCTTGCGTGCAAACCAGTTTCATATAATCTATCACTCAAATTTTGGTCACATACAGCAATGTTCACAGTAATGGTAACATTTCGACGAGCTAACCCTACCACATACCGATCCTGTCGAGGAGTAGATGCAAGTTTACGACCTCCATGTCTTTCAGCGATACTACCAAATTGTTCATATCAAAGCCACAATACGAAATCACGCTCCGAGACAAAATGACGTTCAACATTACCTTCAACTTCCTACCTAATACTCTGAGGTTGTCTTTGTATTTCTTCAAGTTGACGTTTTATTTTATTCTTCGGTGCAAGTGTACATAAGAAAACCAAATAACTTATTTTCATGTAAGAAATTAAGACAGAAAAACATACAGTTACTACATCCCAATCTGAAGAGGGATAAGATCCTAGGGTATTCCTTATACTTACACACGAATACCCTAGTGCAAAGAGTACGGTATGGTAGACGGTTTTACCTTCATATAAACCCCCCGATACGACATTAGTATTAAAATTGAGTCTTTTTCGTAAATTTTTATGTATTAGTTATTTCGTAAATTGAGTCTTTTTCGTATCCCAAATTCTTGACTAAACAATTAGTTAATTTAAAAATTGGTATTTTTTTATGTGCACGCGTTCCAATGGGTAACCCACATAAGCAGTTACAAAAAGGGCTATATTTCAGAAAGTACTAAAGTTAAAAAAAAATTGGACACATTTTTAAATAAAGTTATGCCGATACTAGTTTTCTAAAAAAATTATTTTTATTTTACGAACTATAGCCCGATTTATAAAAACTCAATGTTCTTTGAAAAATGTTTGCAAAACAGTGGTACCTTAGGAATGTAAACTTTTTTTTATTTAATAAGGGACACTTTTATCTACCCATTCCCAAATGTTTATCTTTGATTTATTGTGCATATATATATATATATATATATATATAAAACATATATAAACATTTCCTAATTCAATGTTTTTGTGGTTCAATAAATAGTTTAAAAACAAAAAATTTCTATTTCAATACCTAATTCAAAATATTTTTGCAGTCATTTTGCAGTCATAATCTAATTTCTTTAAAAATCTAAATTAAATTGAATTTTCAGGCTACAAAGAACACCAGTTTACTGAGTTACGATAAAGTAAGGCTTGTCGATGAAAATGCTGCACTGTTGGAAGAGACGAATCAACTAAGAAAAAATCTAGTGTCAGAAGTAACACTAAACCGAAAATTGAACTCGCTAATAGGTATGTCACGAGTTACGCCACAGCAAGCTCAGCAAAAAGTTAGTTTCGCAACTGCTACTAATAAAGAAATTCATAAGCAGTATACAGAACAATTGGAGGTAAGTTAATTAATTGAAAATAGTTTTCTTTTGTGTGTTTATAATAATAAAATAAATATAATACACTCTGCTTATCTGCAATATGCCTATTTTATAGAGAAGAAGATATATTTTTGGAGACGTCGCTTATAGATTGAACAAAGATTTAAGGAGGGATATAAACTATATATATATATATATATATATATATATATATATATATATATATATATATATGTATATATATATATAAGTAACAATTTATGTGAAACAAATATTTATTCATAAAAACATATGGCACTATTCGAAAATTAAAAAAATAATGAAAAGTAACCTATAACAAAATAATTTTTATGTCATTTGTTAATAATATCTAGTAGTTTCTCCTCGGACCCTTATAACAGCCTGCGTACGTCTTGGTAATGTGGTAATAAAATTTGGAAGATAAAGTTGGATTACGAACTTGAATTCGTCTTTTTAGTGTGTTATACTCCATTCCACGAATATACGACGGTTTTCAATTCGGTTTAAGATATCGATTTAAATGGTCTAATGTGCTAAATTATACAATAGTAAATTCTCTCCATTTTTAAAATACTCTTATAAGAAATATAAACCTTAGATTTAAATATAAAGTCATGATATAAATATAGAGTTGATAGTTTATAGAACAGTTGTATTTCAGATTTTGAATGATGATGATGATGATATTAACCATTCGTTAACCATTCTTTTATTTTATCTAAGGTCCAGGTGTTTGTTGGTTGCTTATTTTAAATTTCTAAATGGTACGCAGTATTAATCAGTACTATAACAAGTGGTTCATGTAAATTTGGCAACAGGGTTTTTCTTTCAACCATTTCACAAACATTTCCATATTCATATTGTCATGATAATCGGCTGATTTTGATTTTTATGAAAACACAAGATCTGTTCCCACAATAAAACCATGTTTTCTACCTGCATGCACTATATTATATATCTTTTCCTCGTTATCGATGTTTCTTATGGATTTTATACTCTCGTCCTGCCAAATTCGTGTGATACCGCCTTTAGCAAAAATCCATAAATAAACGAAGGAAGAACATTATTTTTTAAATTTGTTATAATTTCTTAAAAATTCTATTCATTTGTGAACGACACTAGGTCTTTCACACAAAGCCTTTCTATTGTCTTCCTTTTTGCACTTATAAACAATCTGTCTTAAAACTCTACAGAGACTTGTTCTGGAAATTTCAAAGATATTTCTGTCTTTTAATTTTTGTAGTACTAAATCTAAAGAAACATGTTCTTTCTTTTCGCGCATTTTATATATTGTCTCACGGATTTCAAATTTGGAACCTTCGGGAAGATCTATAGTCTTTGGTTGTCGGCGAGATTTATATTGTGCGACATTTTGTTCACTTTGTCCACTTTTTTTGCTTTTTGCAAAAACAACTGTAGTTTTGCTTCACAAATATAGAGTGCATCATACACACGTTTATGTATGAACTGAACTGGTCGCAAAGGTCCCCCGTTCATTTCCTCAGCAATAAAATAAGAAAGTACATTAAATATAAAGTTATATACACCTAAAACACGTCTCGGCATTTTTGGCTTCAATAAACAAATACACTAGACTAAACTCTCTCTTAACAGACACCTCTCTTCACTAGACACCTCTATACGGACGGTTTTTAAAACTAAAATTAATCGGCGATATATGGAACTGTATATAAATTTTCGTTACTTTTTAATATCTGTAACGACTCGGTACTTTAACTATCAATAGCCGGTATGTTATACCCGTTACTTTCGGAACTTTTAAGAGTTAATTCACTCAAAGCAAACAAATATTTAAAACTAACAAAGTGAAATATGTATAAGATTCTTTTTCTGGTTTCTCAGCCATCGCTCTGCCAATTTCTTTTTATTTATAATAAACATAGTATATTTCTCTTTATTACATTTATAGTACCTAATAAAGTAATAAAATAGTGTAATATCAAAGAAGGTAGGGTAGGAGAAGCGTAGGAAGAAGACGCGTTTCCTGGTTGAAGAACCTGAGAGAGTGATTTCTTTGCAGCTCAAGGCAATTGTTCAGAGCAGCTGCCTCGAAGGTTAGAATAGCCATGATAATTGCCAACCTCCGTCGTGGAGATGGCACTTAAAGAAGAAGAATATCAAAGAAACCGGGCACGCCTCTTTGGTGTTTACATTTCACCGAAACTCAACCTGAATGTCTGATGAACACATTTGGCTTTATATACGTCATTAAGATATTTATTTGTAGGAGCGTTTACGTAAAAATTATTGTTATTTTCGGATTTAATTTCACAATAAATTTTTGCGTCTATTTGAACATCTATTAACTGAAATAATTTTAGTTTAGATGTCATACTAACAGTAGATCCGTTTTATTGGAATAATGATTGGACCAATTTACTTTCATACTTCTACTTACACAGTAAAATATTCGTTGTCGCAATAATCCAAAACAGTTGTATATTCGTGGAATAACCTATATGTTCGATTGGATTAAGGTCGGAGATGGTCAATTCATGTAGACAATTTCGACATCTTCTCAGTATTTAATGAGGATTCTAGCACGGTCTTCATGGCCTCATCGTCCATACAAATAAATTTAGGTCCTATGAATGGCGCAAAAGGTACCAGTAAGTTTAGAAGACGTCTATACATCTTTTAAAATAGTTGTTATATCGCCTTACTTTAGTCAAAGAACCTTAACCCACAAGAATTAAGTCAGTACAGGCATACCGAGTCATACCAGCCCAAACGATAACTAAGCCCTCTCCATAGGTTAATCTATCGGCAATATTACATTAGGCAAATTTTTGTTCTTGTCGTCTTTGGATTCTTTTCTTGTTTCCTTTCAAAAGCAAAGCAAGCTCTGCGGTTTTCCAAGGATAGCTGTGGACATAGGCCTGGACTTCTAACAATAAATTCGCTTCATGAAGTCGTCCACGAACTATCCATCTAGCTATACATACATCTAGCAGCTGGTCGACATAATTACCATATTGCAGTAATGCCACGGTCCTTGTAGCATTCGTTGGTATTAATGGCATTTTAATACAAGTAAAAATTATGAACTCAAAAAGTTTTAATACCAAATTGGTCTGGCTGTTCAAATCATTGCCAAATTAGAAATTATGTCTAGAAATTAATAATAAACTACTTACGTAATTTTTGTCATTTTTTACGATTTTCATGGGATTAATAAAATTTGTGACTTCTATTAATAGGTCGCTATAAAATTTACATTTTTAGAGCGTAATCTTCATAATCTATAACAGGGGTCACCAAATGCCGGACCGCGGTCCGCATCAGGACCGTGAGTTTGTTTTTTGCGGACCGCCGTTAAATTCAAAATATAGTAATAAAATTACAACAAAATCTAAATATATAAATATCTTTACATTTTTAAAAATTCACAGTACTAATACTATATAGAAACATAAACATAAACATTACATTACAAACATTAAACATAAACGAATTTATGTCCACTATTGATGCGGCTGCAGCTATTGCCGCTGAATGAAGCTGCAAATGATCATTTTTGCTTCCTCTTGAACACAGAAAACGTTGCAAATATCGCATTTTTGGCGGATATCTTCAAACATCTAAACTTCTTGAATTTGAAACTATAACTAATGCAAGGGAAAACTTGTTTGTTAACTTTCTGAATATTAAAAATTTTTCTAAAAAGATTGAACTTTTTTCTGAGGATATTAAGGCAAAACTTGGTTGGTATTACATAGTTCTCACGTTTAATTAATGATCTTTATTTGTAATTAAAAAAACGATATATTACGACGCAACAATCTATTTCCTTGAGTTTATTTCATACTCCTCCCTAAACTAGGTGGCCTAGTTGCCTGGTTTCAACTTCCTGAGAAGAGAGGAGTTTACAACTACTGGAGGGTTTCTGGGAAATCCCCCGTATGGTTACGCCTGCTTTAGTGCTGAGTGTCCAAACTGCAGAAGTATAGTAGGTTTTTGAAACGGGCCCTCAGGGAATATAATTGATGACCCCTGATTTATAACATAAAATTTTGATTTTTAGATTTTGGCAACAAATATAAGGCATTTGAAATATGTCTAAAAAACTCTGACTTTAAAATTTTACTTCACAAAAAATCGCACGTTACTGGAAATGCTTCCACAAAAACAGTATTGGATGTAATTTTTAGCTGAAGTTATGTAGTTTCGACAAACGTTTTTGTGTAATCGAAAACAAGCAGTTTTAAACGTCATAGTTCATTTGTAATGCCTTTTTCTTCTACTTCTTTTTCTTTTTATATAGACATGACTCTGTCTTCCTATTGGGGAACCGTCTCTTGCCGTCTTTACTACTCTATTTGTTGTCATTCGGCTTATGTGATCGTTCCATTCTACTCTTCTATTTCTTACCCAGTTTTTGATGTTCTCCACCTTTCATCTATGTCGTATATCTGTACTTCTAGTTCTGTCTCATAGTATCCTACCATCAACTTTTCTAAGTGTTTTCATCTCTGCTATTTCTAACATCCTTTTTGTCCTCTGTGTGTCAGGTCTTGTTTCTGCCGAGTATGTGATTATCGGTCTCATGACTGTTTTGTAAATTCTGCATTTCGTTTCTTTGTCGATATTTTTATTTCTCCAATTATTTCATTTAGGTAGCTTGCGGCTCTTTTTGCTCTATTCACTTGATCTTCCACTTCGGTTTCGAGCTTTCCGTTGCTAGATAATGTGATGCCTAGATATTTAAATTCACAACAAACTTACACACTTACTAGTTTGTAATGTGAAAGTTTAAATTCAGTTTAAATTCAATTCAAAATAGTCATTTTTTTGTGCACCACAGTTGTTGCCAACACTTTAAACCGAAATTTAATTCCATATGTTCTGAAGAGTAGGTTCTAACAATAAAAATTACATAGTAAGCGGTAAATGAAAGTGATAAATTTTAATAATCTCATGAGAATCGTAAAAAATGATAAATTTTGATATTTGTCAATGGGACACTTTAATAAAAAAATATTAAATTTTTACCGTCGAGTTGATACAAATTTTACTTAAAATTGATTTCGCGTGCGTAATTAGACATTGAAAATCACCGGTCGGTTCAAGAGTTGTTTCTGAGAGAACGGTTCATTCTACTTATAAACCCTTTTTGTTTTAAATTATCTTAGATACATTTTTTAAAATACTTTTCTACAGCGTACAGTTTCTTGATAAATCACTTTTTTCTGTTTTCCTTCCTATGAGTGATGGTTTTAGGGGAAAGCCGGTGGGTAAACTTTTTTAGGGATCCAAAATTAACGTCATCAGGAAAATTCAGCTTGCCTTCATAATTTTTAGAGGTTAGGTTTAGAGGTTCAGTGGTAGAATGTTCTATGTTCGTCTCTAACAACTGAAATAATGAGATATTAAAAGAAATCAAATTTCATTTTGTAACTTTTAAGAACTGTCACCTTTTTTGTATGCACCTCTGTCCTAAAGTAATTTAAGATCAATCGAGGTAATTTTTCATATTCGGATTCCAGTATATTATGTGATTTAATTTATGTCCTATATTTTTGTTACATCTATATATTGCTTTATTATTTCTCTTTACATTTATTGGTATCTTCTCTGTTTACATTGAAATTTATTTTTGTCTACTATTCGTTAAAAATTTTTGTTTAATTGATACCATTTTTTTAGCAAAACGCTTATTCATTGGAGGCTATGCAACAAGAGAACCTAAGATTAGTGAACAAAATCATAGAACAGAGTCAAGAGAAGAGTCAGCCAAAAGAAAAATAATTTTATTGAAATACTTTTGTATTGTATTTTATTTATAATTATATATTATTTTTATATAATACTGTTTTGTTATTTAAATCAACATTTATTATTTATTTATCATTTTCAACGAGCTGCTGCCCAATATGATTAACAATGTTTACAATGTATACAATAAAACAAAATAAAGTATAAATATCACAAACTTAATGACATAATTTAGTTTTACACATCAAAATGATGTTTACCTATTCTATCTAGATCTGGGTGAATATAATGGGGTCATATAATGAGAGAATACCAAATTGAGTTTTAATTTGATCATAATTTACTTGATTTAATTTTAAAAGTATACCCTGTTTATATGCTACATATTTCAAGAACTTGTGTTGAACCGCCTTAGTTTGTGATATGTAAATATGATAAGATGGAGACTATACACAAAGACAATACTCTAGATGGAGTCTAACTAAAGAACAATATAGTATAACAATAAAAATACTTAAAACTTTGTTTTCAAAAATTTCCCCAAAATTTAAGTATAAGATTTTATCACAACAGCTGTTTCGGCAGAGTGTCTTTCTCAAGTCATCTATTTTTAGATATGTTTACAATTTAAAGTTTAACGAAATAGGTTGAGGATGGGAGCACTGTTTGTCTAAAGTTGGTCATTCAAAATTATATCTATGTTTTTTAATTTGGTAATTTCCATAGAATGTAATAAAGTTAGCTTAAGGTCCTTATTGTGGATGTGAAGATTATAAAATTCGTCATTAAAAGAATGATTATGATCTAGAAGGTGAAGTGCGCATGTAGAATCTGTTTTCCTATTATTGAAAGCCCTTTTATGTTCTGCTATAAGTTTGTTAAAGTTTCTACCAGTTTGACCGATATAAGTTTTTGGGCAGTCGCCACATTTAAGTTTGTATACACCACTGTGTAAGTACTTTTTATTTTGGCTCTTGTTGGTTTTAATATATTTGACTAAGCTGTTGTTTGTTCTAAAAGCTGGTGTATCTTTCTTAGAAAGATACACCAGAAAGTGTAGAAAGGTATATCTTTTTTAGGCGTTTGGCCATTTTTTTATGTGAGCTCTAAGTCCATTGCTATCAGATATTTTTATGGATAATCTAGAGACAAAGGTTTCAAAAAGTTATTACATTGGTGGAGATACGTAGACGATGAACTGGTATGTTTTACAAGAACTTACAGATAAATGACCAATTTTAATCGCATATTAATTCAATCCATAGTCATATTGAATTTACAATAGAAATCTAAATTAATTCCCAGATCACGAATTTCGGTAACCCAGTCAACAAGAATATTGTGTATATTATAAAATTGTATTCCATTGGGTCTCTCGATCGTCCAAAAGAAACAGCATAACACTTAAATGCATTCAGGGTCATGGCATTCAACATACACACTCACTCAACCGATCGAAATCCAAATTTTTGGTCTACTAGCTGTTTTTCAAGTGACGATTTTAGATAGTCACATGCAAAATATTCAAATATCTTTTGTATTGCACCAATTATACTAGTGGGCCTCTAATTCTTCTTCTTCTTAGTCGTTAACCTGATGGAGGTATCGTGATATCATGAAGCTATTAGCTAATTTTTCCAATGTTCCTCCACGTTTTTCTATCTTCTGCCATTCTAGCATATTCTGACAATGGAGCGCCAATGGTAGCAACAATATGGTCCGTGAATCGTGTGGGAGATCTACCTCTATTTCTTTTGCCTTCTACTTTTCCCTGGATGGTAAGTTTTTCAAGACCATTTTGTCGAGGCACATGTCCAAAATAGCTTATTATTTGTTCTGATAGCCTGTAATTATTCATCAATAAATTATCTCCTGCTTTAAAAGTAGGTATTAAAAAATTATTTTTTTCAGCATTCTGGAAATTCACCCTTATTTAAGAATAGATTAAACATGTGAAAAAGGGACTGAATAATATAAAACAACAATTCTTGAGAAATCTGGGAGGTAATCCATCAGGACCAGTATTCACATCCAGTTCTGATAATTTTAAATAAACATCAGATATATAGTTGTGTTGAAACCAGTCAATTTAGTAAGACCAAGTGAAGGTGAGTCACTGGGTATGTCACATATTTAAGTGAAATAGACTGTAGAAAAATATTATGCAAAAAAATTTACAATATCTGGTTTGTGACTGGATTCAACAACACCATAACTCAACACAGCGGGCAAGGAAGGCTTTTTTCTCTGTGAATTCACAAACGACCAAAATTCCTTCAAATTATTTCCTAGTGATAATTATATTAAATAAATATGATTATTTAACAATTTACAGTTCGCCATCAGTTGAGAAAACGTGCGATAATCCAGAAGGTATTTCGATATTATGTTTAAAAAAAATCGTATGCTAAGATATGTGATGAATATCTAATATTCAGTCTAATGAGCCAAATACTTAAAATATTTCTAAAATGTATACATATGAAAATTTTCAGAAACTCGAAACAAGATATTACTGAACGCCACTTTGGATTTAGGAATGCTATAGGTACATGAGATGTCTAATATATCTAGAGACCTTTTTATATCCAAGTTCGGGTAAGGCTTCTAAAAAACCATTGTATGCTAGAATCCAGTAAAAGATACCTATTGGAAAACCAAGAAAGCGATGGGTAGAGGACGCAGAAATCTTTATGTCATCCAATCGTAGACGAGAATGGCTACAGACCGTAACGAATATAGAGGTTTGATGAGGGAGGCCAGAGCTTGAACTTTGCTGTAGAGGTATAGAGCGATAGGATAGTTTATTTAGTTACGAATTTCTAAACGTCCTCTTTTCCCATCTCTACAAGTTTTCTTCTTTCTCTCATTAAGATTTTTATTGTATTAGAAACGTAGTTTTCTTGAGGTTTCTCTTTTCGTGCTAGTTCTTTAATATCTGCTTCTTTTGTATCTATTTCGGTCAGTTCCTTGTATTTTTTTTCTTTTTAATGTTTTAATAATTTATTAATGTTTTTCCTCAATTGTCTCGCTTGCTATATGCGGAAGGACCTATTAGTATTTCTTTATTGTTTAAACGTTTATCAAACTTAGCATTAAAGTTATGAATATTCGATAAATTCCGTTTTATTTTCTACCATCGTCTGGGATAGTCTCGGTCTGTTCTCTCAAAAGTATTGATATCATCAGAATAAAAAAGTATTGGCACTGATTTATTATGTATTAAACCAGTCGTTGTGATTTGTGACATACGTATTACTTTTTCTAGAGCCATATTGAACAGTATATAGGAGAGAGGGTCTCCCTGGCGCAGCGCTTTTTTTTTTAAATGTTCAGAGAGTTTCCTCTGGATTCGTACTCTACATTTAACCATTTCAAGAGTTAGTTTTGATGAATTTACTGATTTGTTATTTCTAGCTTATTCATTGCTTTGAAAATTTCTCTTTATTTTACAATAAAACAAAAAATAAAACTATACAAAAAAAAATAAAACAAAAATTTTGGTGATGGGAGAAAATGAAGAAGAGGAAAAGATAAATATAAAAATAGAAGGAGTAAATATAGAATAACCACGAACCTTTCAATACTTAGGAGTGTAATTAGAAGACAACGGAAGACAGGAAACAGATATTAAGAATGCAATGAACAATAAATTTATAAATAAAAATGAAATTATAAAAAAAACAAAAATTTATGTGTTCAAGTCAATATATAGGCCTGAATAAGTCGTGGGTACTAACACAATGACAAAAGAGTAAAATACAGGCAGTAGAAATGAAATATCTGAGGCGAGTTCGAGGAGTTACCAAAAGAGAGACTACGGAACACCTAAATAAGAAAAGATTTGCAAATATAGTCAACATTAGAATACATAGAAAGAAGGCAACTTAGTCGGTTGGGTCATCTTAAGAGAATGGAGATTACAAAGTGCAAGAGAGAGAATGCAAGAAATTTGGCAAGCAAAAACCCAAAGACAAAGGAAGAAAGGTAGCACGACAACCATTTGATAAAATACTAAGAAACATTATCAAAAAATGGGGAACAACATTGGCAAAAAGTAAGCACGCTGGTCAGAAATAAGAAGAAATAGATCAAATCTGTACATAAGGTAAATATACAGTAGATTATACTTAACCCATGAAGGACGAAGTTTTCGAAAATCTTTATTTTACATAAATAATACAAATAACTCTTATGAATGGACAAAACTTACTTAGAAAAAGACAAAAATAATTATTAAATATATTAAAACCTAAAAATATTGCCTGTTGCCAAATGGCAACGCTAGGTTCCTATGGCGACATTAACCGAATGAAATAAAAGTAAAAAATATTCTATGAAATTGAGAGATAATCGGCAAAAAACTTTCTATAGCTGTGTATGAAATGTAACATTACACTTTGTGCACAAACCTACTTCACATTTGGCGCATCTTGTTCTCATGATCGACCTACATTCTTCACCTGCACACCTAATTTTCTTTTTATTTGGTACTGGTTCGAGTAAATGCCCAACTCCATCGTATCTAATATCATCAGATACTCTATGAAAGGAACGACTTGAGAGTGAACTAGACGGTCGGCCACCTTGTTTTGCAGGCACTCCGTATTTCACAATTTCACGCCTAAACTCTAACTGTGTCAACTTGTTGGCGGATTTTTTATGTAGCACTCACGCATTTTGTATAGTCACATCTAGCATCCAGGTAATCAAGCTCCAGTACCATTTTTTTGTCCTCATTCCTATTCTAAAGCGGTTTATATTTTCGTCCATTAGGTCGGTGCCCCCCATTGCATTATTATATTTACCAATCAGGCATGGACTTTGAACCTGGATGATTTTCTTTTCAGCTTGTGAATATCTTTTCACGAGCGATTGTGGTTCCACCACATAACATGTTGACGCTACACTTACGACGCTGTTATCCAACCATCTTACATCTATAATACCAGTTTTTCTCTCGAGAATCGACTCTACATCACCCCTTTTCCGTTTCTGCATATTAGCTTTCGATTCTATAGGGCAGTTTTTGGGAATGCGATTTTCCCGTATTGTTCCGGTAAGGCTATAGTTACGATCGTTTATATGTTTCAAAAAGTGGAGGCTCGTAAATAAATTGTTGCAGAAAAATTTGTAGGGTAATCTTGATTTATCATTGGGCAGTTCATCGAGCATTGTGACGAATGGAGCCGCACATGCTCCAAAAACTTTATAATAATGATTATTTGCTTTAGGATCGGTTCCTTGGTACATGTTGAAGCTTACAAGATACCCACTTTTAGTGTTGAGGCACCAAACTTTGTATCCGAAACGAATCGGCTTTCCTTTTATAAGCTGTTTACATGAGTGGCGTCCAAAGTATTTCACCATAGATTCGTCATAATTTAATTCGCCTTCAGGGACGTAATATTCTTTATATTTTTTCTGTAAATAGTCAGCTAAGGGTCTGATCTTGTAATATTTGTCCCTTTCATCGATGGCTTCATTATTTGCAAGGTGGAAAAAACGCCAAATTGTAAGGAACCGATCTCTTCGCATAGCGTTCATGACCATTGCATTACCGATATCGCCTTTTGTATCCCAGTAAAATTTTTTTCCCGGGAGCCAATTATACCCCGATAGAATCAAAATGGCAAACAAACACCTCATTTCTCCTGCGGAAATTTTGGGGTCGGGAAAGTTCTTCTGTAGTACATAACTAGTGCATTGGTTGAGAATGTAACTAATTATATCCTCGTCGAAAAATAATTCGAACATCTCGACAGGTTGTCAACGTATTGAATGGTTCGTAGCTGTATTTTGGGAAACTAGCGGCATTGTCTACCAAATCACCCGTTATCCAATTTAGGGACTCATATTCAATTTTCTTCACTTGAGAGGTAGTTTGTGGGATGAAACTTCCGCTGCTTTCCTGGGAAATATCCATCGCTTGAACTGCATCTTCTTCGATGTCGTCATCCTCCTTGTCTGCTTCTTCGCCATACATTTGCACCTCAACATTTGCTTCCAGCTGTTTTCTAGACAGATTGTCGATGAATCTTCCCCCATCCTCCTCGCCAGAATCTTCATCAGTGAGGTCTCCAATATTTGAGGGCTCAACATAAATATTTCTAACGTTGACGTCATCTTCGTAAACCATGTTCAAAGCTTCTTGTAGAGAGAAACCCCGCCTGAAAAAACAAGATGCCTGTAGATACTAGCGTTGCCATATGGCAACGCGATGAATAAAAACAAAATATTGTAAAAGATCGCTTTTTTTTCAAGGGTTGTCAAATATTCACAGAGGGAAAATGACCTTTCTATTAGAGCAATATTGTTACTTTAGCCACTTAGATGTAATAGTTATTCAGAAGTAATTGACAAATTGAGCTACTTACACAAATCTTATATCCATTTTTACAACTATCAAAAACGGTGACTATAAAATCTCACAAACACCAACGAATTAAGTTTTTGTTAGGTGTATATCTTCAAATTACTTATTTTCTGTAGACCGGCACGTGCTTGGAAACAAAACAAACTAACATAACCTCAAAATAATAAGATTCGTACGTCAATACCAGTGTTGCCATATGGCAACTCCAGTCCTTCATGGTTTAAGTTTACAAATAAGATTAAGTTTGATATTAATATTGATATAATTTGAAAATATATATTAGATATGTTGATAACCAACTCTGCGATAGGAGAAGGAACCACAAGAAAAATTGTTTATTATTACTAAAGACATTTAAATTTTAAAAAAATTTCATAAATTTAAAAATAAAGAAAGGCTATAATTATTAATCGTTTACTTCATAATTTTACATTATACTTGTGCCTAATTTTAACTTATAGAATCGGATTTTAGTGTTTTCAGTAAAAGTACAAAGGAATTTGTGGACCGTATGTCTGTCTGGAAGACACTGACCCAAAAATTCTAACAGGTCCGGTTGTCGAAGAACATTATATCTGTAATCATTAAATGAAATCTTGCCGTCTCGGTCGGCATCCATTTTTTTCATTATTACTTCAACCATATCCTTGACGGCTTCTTCCGCGTCTGATTCGCCTATGTTGCTCTTCAAGGATCCCATCAAAAGCCTTAAAAATAAAACAGAAATATTATTATCATATTCGTATAACATAAATTTGCAGAGTAAGTTATCTTTTATCCATAACCTTTTGCTCTCAATTTTCGTTTCTTTTAAATCTTCTGTTATCTCCCCTGATTAGCTTAATCTGGGTTTGCTCTTTTTTGTAGATCAGGTTTTCCTAACGCAATATTTTTAACGTATTTTCATTTTCAGTCTATCCAAATGTCCTAACCATTGTCTAATATTGCAACATTTTTGTTTCATCCAGTATATCCTGTGAGCCGAAAAGATTCTTAGTCTTTTTGCGTTTCTAAGATTGGTAATCTAAATATTTTGAAGTCTGTTTATAATAAGCAAAGTGCTCTTTCGTTTGATCTCAATTCCGCCTTTAGAGATATTACAGTACAGTACGGCTAGTATATAAGTACATAATATGTCTCATTTGAAGAGATAGTAAACAGCTAAACAAAGATAAAATAAAGTGATAAATTTAATATTAAGTTAAAAATATTTAAGTCAGTGGAGACTAGAGAAAAGTAAGCTTATCCCTATGTAAGTTAAATTTATTTTAAAACTTGTCAACATATTTGGAGATACCATCGCAGAATGCTTTTTATCTGGTAAATTAAATGAATATATTTGATTTCGTTTGTAACTTTTATTAACTATATATTTAGTGCAGTGCAGTGTCACATTTTTCTGAATAGGGTATGTACCTAAATTTTTTGTATTCCGTAATAATCTTTGTTTTTTTTTTTGTATGCAACCTAAAATTTTGTATGTTCTGTAATACTTTTTACTCAGCTAATTTATAGGTATTTTTTACTAGATAGTAAGTTTTAATACCGATAATATTATAATAATTATGTTATAACTGAGGTAATGTCAAATTATTTTTGCTTAATTTTACTTTTTAAATTCACATTTTAGCTTTTCCCAGTTATAAAGGTATCCTATCTAATTTTAGGAGTATGTATTTGTTTAATACCTGATTTGTGTACATGTACTTTTTTGTTTTTGTTTTCTATTTGCCTTGTTTGATTTATGTTTACTGTGCTAACGTGTTAATATTCTAATATACTTTTACTTTAACTTTTAAAAATTAAAAATTATTAATTTGTAGCAATTATTTGTTTATTATTAGACTCTCATAAACTTGTATTTTTCTGGTAACTGGTAAGAAGGTAAATCTGACAGAAATATAGAGACAATAAAAATAAATGTGTTTGATTCCCTTTTTTTACTATGTATGCATTTTGGTATTTTTAAAGAAGTTTAGTCTATTTATCATTTTTTTTGGAATATTTCTTGAACCAATCTTCTCATAGGTCAAGTGTCGAGTTTTCCACGTCCCTTGACAAAGGACCAGGTGGCGAACTTTATTTTTTCCTTTCTTTGAGTAACATTCTGTCATTTTTATTGGTACCTTTCAATTTCCATTTTTTTCTCTAAATATACTCTCATCCCAGATCTGTAGACCCACGTCCCAAATTTCACCGTTGTGTCCTTCAAAACATCTGAGCACTGGTTTTCAAGGTAAACAGCTTAACATACTTGCAGCTAAATTTTCTATTTACCTTTTAATCCCCAACAAGTGTCATTAAAGTATTCATAATCTTCATATCCTTAAAATTGTAGTTATTGCTGATTATTTTAAAATTTCATATAGTCCGTTATTAGTACTTCTCTCCCATTCTTTCTCTGTTTTCTGTTCATCAGCATATATATATATATATATATATATATATTATATATATATATATATATATATATATATATATATATACATATTCTGGAGAGAATATATATGACATCATTACATGTCTCTCCTTCACGCGCAAAACCTGTAACACGTTTACTTAAAACTTTATAATGATGTAGATTGTAAATAAACATAATTATAAAAAAATATATTTTCTAGTAGAAATCACCAAAAAGATTCCCGGAAAAAAGTTTTGGCTCAATTTCATTAGCAGGTATCATCCAAGTGGAGCCCTATACAAAAATATAAAATTATGATTCCTTGTTTAAATTAATGCCTTTGTGGTAAAAATTTTAAACAAGATGCACATTCTACAGTGAATGTTGGTCAAATCAACCTAATAAGATCCCGTCTTTATATATCATATAAGACCGACGATTAGAGAATAAAGTTTAATAATTATTAAATGATAATTATTCCTAAATGAAAAATTCCTAAAATAGTTAGCGATATAAATGCATACTTAAAAAGATTTTCCTTCATGAGCTGTCCGCTTCCACCATAATCATAAACTTTGAAACAAAACGCCATTTTTTCTTCAATAGTTCCTCTTAAAAATAACGATAACATGTGCACCCAAAGTTCTTTTGATATATAGACATCTCGAGCTTTTTCGTCTAGGCAGGTTATTATTCTAATAACTTTTTCCATATCCGTCATATCTAAACAGCAATGGAAAACTTCCATCAGAACGTCTCTTGTAATACCTAAAAATATTTTTAAAAAACATAATGCTTTATCTGGCAGAATCCCCTCAAGAAGGTCTTTGCACTTTGGTTTATAAAACTCACACCTAAATTTTTTTGCACGAAGTAAATAAAATGTATTTTGTACTGTAGAAACTGATAAAAAATTTATAGTAGTAGCGAGATTGTAATAGTTTAAGACTATAGCTCAGTTTATAGAACAAAATTTAACCTCGTTTGGCCTTCAAAATTTAATACCAACCCAGCTCTACTCTCTTTAAAAAAAGTGGTTCGTAGAGCATAAAAAAAACAAAAACAAGACATAAATTAGCTTTTCCCCGAGTTTTGTATGGAAAAATCTAAAAAATCGTGATTTTTTGTTTAGAGTAATACATGTAATACTAATTTAATCGCAATACCCCTTTAAGTCCTAAACATATTTTTTTTCTTCGGAACTTGGTAAAATTTAGTGCAAATAATACTTGGCGGTTACTCATAATATAAAAAAATATTTAAAAAAATCTATGTACACAATTTTTAAAAAAAGGTACCCACACAATTGTGTATGATATGTTTTATTTTAGATAATACAAAATATTAAATCTACGGTGTATGAAAATACAAAAAACAATTTGGATCCTTTGTAAGGCACAAATAAGTATTACATTTAAAACACCTGACTCGCTTTCTACTTTTGCAAGTGCTTCTGCGGCAAAATCTGGCTGTAGTTAGCTTATTTACATATTGTTCTGAAGCTATTTTCTTGTGGCATTGTAAATTAATTACCATTAAACTGGAAATAAGCCACAATTAAAGATAAAAATACGTTTATTGGCGTTTCAATTTCCACTTCGGAAATCGTTCTCAAAATACAAACAGTAAATTAAACAAATTTTGTTTTTTGTTACATAGTGAAAAATTCTTCTAAAAATTTAATTTTATCTGACTCATTTATATTGACAATTCAGACATACATTATGCATTTTAAAGTAGACGACTTTAAAATGATATTGCCAATATTGTTGAGTTGCGCTCCTGGGACGACTTTACTTATAAGATAGTTCATTCGATTACATGAAATCAACTTTAACTTGAGAATATCCGTCAGAAAAAAAATCATAGCATGTAATTCGTCTTTAAAAAGACAAACACATGACATGATGACAGTAAAATTCTCCTGTTAGTGATTCCATAGTAAATTATGAGGGAAAAACCAGAAAAAAAACCTCATAATACTATCCCGACATTGTAAGTATTTGTTCGTGAATTTAGTTTACCTTCAACAAACATTAAAATTCTGATTTTATATGTTAGGTTATTTAGAAAACATAAATGATGTATCCTGTATATGTTACTGACTTACTAATACTGGTATTTTCTTATTAATAACTTCCTCTTTCAATATTGGTAACCAGATCCTACTACATTCTGCCGAGCAATTTGCGACACAATTGGCCTCATTTAGCATAATCATAGCCGCTTCTTTGATTTTTCTTTTGAAAAGATTATGCTAAATGAGGCCAATTGTGTCGCAAATTCCTCGGCAGAATGTAGTAGGATCTGGTTACCAATATTGAAAGAGGAAGTTATTAATAAGAAAATACCAGTATTAGTAAGTCAGTAACATATAGAGGATACATCATTTATGTTTTCTAAATAACGTAACATATAAAATCAGAATTTTGATGTTTGTTGAAGGTAAACTAAATTCACGAACAAATACTTACAATGTCGGGATAGTATTATGAGGTTTTTTTTCTGGTTTTTCCCTCATAATTTACTATGGAATCACTAACAGGAGAATTTTACTGTCATCATGTCATGTGTTTGTCTTTTTAAAGACGGATTACATGCTATGATTTTTTTTTCTGACGGGTATTCTCAAGTTAAAGTTAATTTCATGTAATCGAATGAACTATCTTATAAGTAAAGTCGTCCCAGGAGCGCAACTCAACAATATTGGCAATATCATTTTAAAGTCGTCTACTTTAAAATACATAATGTATGTCTGAATTGTCAATATAAATGAGTCAGATAAAATTAAATTATTAGAAGAATTTTTCACTATGTAACAAAAAACAAATTTTGTTTAATTTACTGTTTGTATTTTGAGAACGATTTCCGAAGTGGAAATTGAAACGTCAATAAACGTATTGTTATCTTTAATTGTGGCTTATTCCCAGTTTAATAGTAATTAGCTTATCTACAGTTGGAAAATGCTCAAAGCTATCCAACCTCTTATATTCAGCTGGCATTACAGCCCTATAATTTTGTGGTTTTTTTGTTGGACGCTCTCTTTCTTCCTCTTCTTGATCACTATTAGTAATACGTCGTTTCGTAGGGGTTGCCAGTAATGTTTCTGCAAGTTCCATTCGAAAGGATAGGAGATCCTTTACCTTTCGTTTTGGAATATTATTCATTTACCAGTTAGCTGTATATTGCATCCAAGAATTTACTACCGTAGAATCCAATAAGTGGATTATTACTTTTAAGGTCCATTTTTTGGTTTTTATTTAGCTTCAGTAATATTCGAGTTGCTGATCTGCGATATCAACAACTCCCATATTCTCATTGTAAGATTTAACAATATCAGGACATGCTATGTCTACATATTGTTTTCATGTTTACACCACCTTTTTACTATACTTTAAGGATCAACTCCAGTTGCATTCGACAATAAAACTACAGACTTTGAGTCCCTTCACTTAACGGCCACCATATTTTGTTCTTTGCAGCAAAATTGTTCACTTTGACCTTTCTGTAGACGATTACCTGGCACAAAGTTAACTTTGATTTGATTGTTCATTGAAAGAGGAGTTTGTTGTTTTGCTTGGTATATCTCAAAATCGAGAACCACACCTGTTGATGAAGCCAGTACAAAGTTTTTTAATCCTACTGGTCGTAGTTTACCTTTTAGATATTGACGTAAAGAGCACCGACCAGTAAAAGGAATCATCTGTTCGTCAATGCTGTAGTTGTTTATTGATCTCTCAATTTGAAGGCATGCATTTCGTACCGCATCTATGACAGGTTGTACTTTCCATAACCTGTTATTTTGATGATTCTCAGGTGGAGAATTTGTGTCAACAAAGTGAAGGCAGGTTCTCAGTTGCATATCCCTACCCCTGAGTAAAGCATCAGATACACTTGATATTTTTAACTTAGCTCTCCAATACCAGGATAAACGAGGATACCGAATATAACCAAAGAGCAAATGGGCTCCGAACAGTTTTTTGATTTCAGCTGCTGTCGTATTTAATGCTTTCCCTTTTTGACAATGAATACATATTAGAATATAAGGCTACTTGGTCAAAAATGTCGTTTAGAATATAATTTTAAAAAATATAGGGGAGTTTCAATATTTCCGTGTTTGTTTGCAAACAAAGTTTCTTTCTGTGTTTTATTCTCGACACTGGTAAAACGAACGGCTTTTGACCAAGAAAATGTTTGTCCTTTTTTTGTTTTCATGATTTTGCTGTAGTTCATTTTTAAATTCATATAGAATAGGTTCGTTTCTTACCAAGTTTTCGTTTGGCGGCTGAATTTCCTGGTCACTACTATCCGACTCGTCATCGTTCTCTGCCAGCATCCGAATCGTCGCTAAAACCTTCTTCCTCTGATTCTTCATCCATCATCCTAAGAAGTTCATCGAAATCTTTTTGCTTGTCCAAGAAAGCTAAAGTAAAAAATAAAAAAACACAGTTAATCCCAACTTGGATTGAACAAATGTGTAGGTAGAAATAGAAAGTTAATTTTCTAAAAAAAAAAACTATGTTAAAATTTAACACGAAAACACTGCAAATATTTGGCTAGACTAATATTAAATGTAACACACTAGTTTAAAAAAAAACAAGCTTCTTTACTATAAAAAACATACTTACATTTTTGACGAAATTTCCATCGTGAAGAACTAATTCATACTAATATCCCGCCAACCCAAAAGCACGTGGCCTAGACATGATTCAACGTTGTTCTGTGATACCTACACAACTATCGTTGCGCGTTCGGAACGTTTATTGTGTAGGCACGGGTGGAAAGGGATACTGTCAATGGAACTTTTGTAGAGTATCAAAAAAGAAACGATTTTTATATATAAATCCTTATCCGTGCAGTTTTTGCAGAGAAAAGCCGAAAAACACAGCTCCCATTTTTTTACAAACTCATAACTTAAGCCTTTAGTTGGAAAGCTAATTCTCCGGATATTTTTTTATTTATTTTAACACCTAAGATTTTTTAAAATTTGTTTCACAATAAAAACAATAAGTGAAATTGTTTGTCTTTGCAATGTCAGAGAGACATAAGGTCCAGTGACCAAAGCATCATAACACAAGAACTGGCTTGTATACCGGTGGGATGCGCACATACACAGATACGTGAACACGAATTCTAAAACGGCACAGATCACAATGGCTAAGCGCTGTTGAAGGCGTAGTTTCCACTACTGTAGGCACTGTTAGGAACGGTTTAGTAGGTTCAAGGGATGATATCGCTTTAATCTCTTCGCTTGTTGGTTGTGGAGAAGATTGTATGTCATCATGTAAGGATACACGCTCAACCTATTTTGTTAATGTTCAGAAATTCTTTTGCACTCTTCACAGACTGTTAGTACCCGCAGATCTCGATGTAAGTTATCAGTCTGGATATACCAAGAGGCATTAGCAATTGTTCTTAGAATTTCAGATTGAAATATATGTGTTTTCATAACATTAGATTTGCTAGCTCATCCCCAGACCAGTAAAACCATATGACCAAACGGGTTTTATTATAAGTTTGTATATCAGCAACTTGTTGTCAATCGATAAGTGTGAGTTTTTTCCCAGCATCCAGTAAAGTTTTCTGTATAAAATTCCTAGTTGTAGTCTTTTAATCCATTTATGTTTGATCCATGTTAATCGTTTGTCCAGATAAATGCCTAGATATTTAACGTTATCCTTTTGAAGTAAAGGATGTCCATCGAGGTTAACTTGTAGACATGCACCTCTTCTTAGAGTAAATGTAATATGTGTGGATTGTGAGGAATTTACTTTAATTATCTAGTGTTTAAACCATTCATTAGTTTTGTTTAGAGCCCCAGTGGTGATGTTTGCAGTTAAAGTCTCCTCCTGCTATGAATTTGTGTCCAAGAAAACTAAAGTAGGTATTAAAGTTGTTTTCGTTAATGGATTGGCCAGGAGGACAGTAGACTTCAGATAAGGTAAGGTTGCCTAGCCAGGCTTCAATGACAATGCTAGTTGATCGTAGGTACTTTTCACTGATCTTATTTAACTCATGATGTTTTAGATTTCATTTGATAATGTCTGCCACCGTGTGCTTTGTCATTTGAAAGTTTTGTGTAGTGAACAATGTATTTTGGATTTTTAATATAATTTTTGTCTGTTAGATGAGGTTCTGATATAAGCATAATATCAATTTTCTTCTCATCCAGAAAAATTTTGATTTCTTGGATATGCTGCGTTAGACCATTTGAGTTCCAGACGGCTATTTTAAGTATATGTTGCATTAGTACAACACAGACTTAAAATTATGGATCATTTATAGCACAGACAATATTACAATAACACACAAAATATATCATAAGAAGGTCATTCAGAATTATGAGACTTGAGATAAACAGTTCTCCCTTAGTCAACCTATTCAGTTAAAGACTATAAAGTTTAAACACATACCAAAAATAAATCACTTGAGAAAGGCACTCTGCCGAAACAGTTGTTGTGATAATAATTGATACTCAATGGTGTGGAAGTTTTGAAAACAAAAGTTTTTACTGTTTTACTGTTATATAAATATAATTTCCATTAATTAAAGGTCGAATCCATCACTTATTAAAATAAATGCTTAAAAATATGGAAGTCAATATTGCTTGCCTAATCTTTACTGGTATTAGTGACGCAGATACGTTCCTAACTCTTTTTATAATGCATTCTTTAGATATTACAGGATTATCATAGAATATACTTTTTATAGATCCTCAAATAAAAAAGTCTAAAGGTGTTAGATCATAAAAACGCGAAAATCACAAAAATAAAAACCTTATTTGCTATTCATCTTCTGCTCTGGTACTGTGTGGTGTCACGCCATCTTGTTAGTACCCCTGTTTGGTTTTTTACTATCGCCAAATTTGGTTGAAACGCATTCCTTTAAATTTTGGTCATAGAAGTATACATAAAATTGGATCACCTGAAAAAATGATCAAAAAACTAATAGCAAATATCTAAAATTCAAGAAGTTACCTGGACCGTGCATCCCCCTACCTTTTATTGCATAAATCACATTAAAAGGCCATCGTTCTTGAATTGCTTTTGATCTTTTAGGTTGAAATTTTTCGATGCCCAGTAGTGACCATTATGCCTGTTGAACATTACATTATTCGTAAATTTTGGGTTTTTTGTCAACCCAAATACTTAATATTGTTTAAAAAAATATTCGTTGCAACTTTTCTACATAATTCATGGTCATTTAGAAAAATTTATCATTTTTTCTATATCCACAATATTTAATGAATGTGCAAGGGTTTAGGACTAAGGATTTCAGTTATATTTTTTCAAAAGTCTTTGAGTTGTTAAAAATGCCAAAATTTTTACTTCATTACCTTCGTTATTGAAAATTGGCTTCTCTCTATTATTCTGTGCTCTCCATGATCCATAATAATTAATAATAAATTAGCATAAGGTTCCTTGAACCAAATTAAAATGAGCCTAAATAGAAGCAAACTAACTATGAATGATTATGAGAAAGCATTCGACACGGTAAACCACCAGAAAATGCTAGAAGCTTTAAAAGAGTACCGAATAGATCATCGCTACACCACTGTCATCAAAAATATCTATGATAATGCCACGGCATGCGTCAGACTCCATGAAGATACACACAAGTTCAACATTCATCGTGGAGTTCGCCAGGGCGACACCATTTCACCTAAACTGTTTACAACATTATTGGAATACATGTGTAAGCGTGCAAACCTAGACGAAAAGGGCATAAACATAAATGGAGAGCAGCTTAGTCACCTCAGGTTCGCGGACGATATAGTCCTGATAACAGACCGCATAGATCATGCCATCGAAATGTGCGAAAGACTCTACCATGCCTCTACACAAGTGGGTTTAAAGATCAATAACTCAAAAACACAAGTGATGACAAACCTTGTTCTGAGTGAGAACATCAACATAGCTGGAACAAGTATAGAACAAACGTCAGCATACAAATATCTGGGACACGAAATTCGCTTAAGTAGAGATAACCAGACCAATGAACTAATACGTAGAATAGGGTTGACATGGGCAGCTTATGGAAAGCTAAGAGATGTTTTCCAATCAGCTCTTCCCATCTGCTTGAAGAGAAAAGTCTTCGATCAATGTGTGCTGCCGGTTCTAACCTATGGTGCGGAGACGCTAACACTTACTAAGACGTCCGCAAACAAAATCCGAACAACACAGAGGGCAATGGAGCGGTCCATGTTGGGATTAACCCTGAGAGACCGAATACCCAACACAGAATTGCGCCGTAGATCGGGAGTAACCGACGCAATCAAGAGAATATCAACCTAAAAATGAAACTGGGCAGGGCACGTCGCGAGAACGAAGGACGGCAGATGGACAAAACGCATTCTTGAATGGAGACCCAGACAAGATGCCTTTAGGAATAGAGGACGACCACCAACAAGATGGATGGATGACCTGAAACGGACACATCAAAATTGGATGCAGGCGGCTCAGGACAGAAATTTGTGGGGTGAACTACGGGAGGCCTATGTTTAGCAGTGGATGAGTATGGGCTGAATGATGATGAACTATGAATGAATAAAGGGTTACTAAAAATTGTTAATTGTATCAAAATATCTTATTTACATCATATAATAAAATAAAATAGATACAAAATACTGCAGCTAATTCTCGAGAGTAAAACTTCTTTTGGCTGAAAATCATTTTAGATGGACGTTGATACAAAACCCAAGGCAACTTGTCAGAAGACGGTGAAGCATTTGCCACGGTAATGGATAGCGTCAAAACGAACAACAAGAAGAAGACAATCCATCTTGTTAGTGATTAACCTTTACCTTTCTTTTTATTAGATTTTCTCTGTTTAGATATTTTCCGTATGGATACCGACAAAATAAAATTGACAATCTCTTAAAATTCCAAATTTACCATTTACCTCTTGGATCGTAAGTGTCGTATTTTTGTATCTTGTAATATATAATGAGGACGGCTTCAACCTCCTGAAAACTAAAATGGACCTGTTTTGTCAGACTTATAGCCAGTACTCTATGTTTCTTCAAAAACCTGGTTTCTTCCATGGGGTTCAAAGTCAAATCGTATCTAGCCATTGTTAAATTTTAGATACAATTAAATGAGGAATATTAAAATTAGTATATAATTGCTGTTACATAAATGACACAACCGGTGTCAAAAATAAAAAATAGCCTGACATATAATATTGTTTATCTGGAAGGTAATTTTTTTCCAATAGTTCTTCTTCTTCTTTGTGTTTTTTTGGTTTCGATTGTATAATCATTTACCCAGTACATGTAAGGTCATGCTCGTCTTGTTCTAGGCAATTCACAACCAGGGATAATTTTCTATTTAGTACTAATTGATAGCTGGGTGATACTTGAATGATACGTAAATTTTTATATATTAGGATATTCCAGTATTTTCTGAATTTATTATTTTTTTTCCTATTTTGACAAGTAAAATATTTTTTATAGATCTATTTGAAATAATTTGATACATTTATTAATTATTTTTATAACTTTGTCAGAGGATTTGTATAAAGTACTATGTAAAGATTTTGGCCTCTCAATTCCTGCTTTGCTTCTTCTTCGCGTGCCATATCAGAATTATCCGACGTTGGTGATCACCATTGCAAAGGCTTCTCGATCTTCTGCAATATGGAATAATTGTCCTGCATTTGGTATCTGAATAACTTGTTTTCTTCCTACACCTCTACGGCCCTCTATTTTGCATTTAAGAAAGAGTTGCAAAATTTTATATCGACTTCCCCTTACTATATGTCCCAGATAAAACATTTTTCGATGTTTAACAGTCTTTAGCAGTTCTCTGTCTTTGTTGACGCTTCTTAGTACTTCTTCATTAGTTTTTCTTTCTGTCCAAGGTATCTTCAGCATTCGTCTATGAACCGACATTTCCAGTGCTTCAATTTTGTTCATGATCGATACTTTTAGCGTCCACACTGCTGTACTATACAAAAGTACAGACCAAACATAGCACTTAACCATTCTTTGCCTTAGTTCTAAACTGAGATGTTTATTGCAAAGAAATGTCTACATTTTCATAAAAGTTGTTTTAGTCATTGCTATTCGACTTTTTATTTATATATCTGGATCTAGTTAGTCCGTTATCACAGTTCCCAAATATGTCATTTTGTGAACTTTCTCAAGCTTTGCATCGGGATGTGGGTCACGACTAACACTAAAAATTTGGTTTTGTTTGAGTTTATTTTAATGCCAATTTCCTCTCCTACCTCGTGAATACGATCAAGCAGAATTTGAAGACCTTTAATATTATTTGATAGTATTATATCGTCTGCATATCTAATCACATTAAGTAGTTCCCTGTTGATTTTTATTCCATATGGTTGTCTCTCAAGTGCCTTTTTAAATAACTGGTCCGAGTAAACATTGAACAACGTTGGCAACAAAATGCAACCTTGTCTGACTCCTCGTTGTATGGGGATTTCATCAGTGTAGTTATATTCAATTTTTACGATAGCAGTTTGATTCCTATACAAATTTTTAATGACACGAATATCCTTGTCATTTATTCCGATATTTTTCAGGATTTGCATTAATTTTACATGCTGTACTTTATCGATTTCCTTTTCGAAGTCCACGAAACATGCAAATACATATTTTCTTTGGTCAGGATATTTTTTAATAGGATGTTAAGCGCAAAAAGTGCCTCCCTGGTTCCCATAGCATTTCTAAAACCAAATGGGGTATCTTCAAGATCTTCTTCGCATTTGCGTCTAATTCTGTTGTGAAGTATTCTGAGGAAAATTTTAAGAGTGTGGCTCATTAGGCTAATTAATTAATATTCTGAGCATTTTATCGCATTGTGTTTTTTAGGTATTGCGATAAAGATGGATTTGAACCAATCTGCTGGAATCACTCCGGTGTTATATATTGAATTAAAAAGTCTTACTACTACTTTTATGTTATCATTCTCTATCAGTTTTAGCAACTTAGTTGGTCTCTCATCTAGACCACAAACTTTTCTAATTTTAGCATTATTTATAGCGTGTTCTACTTCGCATTTCATAATTTCTGGGCCGTCAGTACAGTTTTGGTAGAATTCGGCAATATTATTCCTGTCATCTTCAAACTACTCTGATATATACAGCTGCCATTCTTTTCTTATTTCGTGCTCATTTACAATAATTTTGATATTAGTGTCAACAAGTACAGAGGGAACTCGTTTTTTAAATATATAACTTATTTCTTACAGTTTTTTCTGCACATTAAATAAGTCGTGTTTAGATATTACATCCTCCATTTCGTCGCACCTTTCTCTCATCCATTTTTCTTTGGCTAATTTGATCTCCTTTTTTATACTTCTCTGCAGGTGTCTATAATCTGTTACATTAGATTTTATTAGTTGACATTGTTCCATTAATTTCAAGATGTCGTCTGTCATCCAATTATTTTTCTTGATTAAGTTTTTTCTAGAATCATTGTTTGTAGAGATTTCGTTAACTTGGTTTTTAAATTCACTCCGTAGTTCTTCTGGATCTTCTAGTTGTTCTCCGATGTTTTTTATTTTATTGTTCCTGCTTTTAATAATTCTAAATACAACAGATCCATATTTTTGTGTTTGTTTATAAGACATTCAAAGAAGATGTGAATCACTGTTCCAATGGTTCCAGATTATTCACATATCGGTGTTTCTATTTTACCTATTTTGTAGAGATAGTAAAGAGTTTTACAATGTCCACTATATAAACGATTAATATATTGTTACAGAAATACGATTTGTTACAGTATTCTTGTCCATATATCCACATTTGGCGTACCATGGTTTTATGAGGAAATCATAAAGCAATCTACAATAATCTGGATCTTTATCTTTAATTTGGGAATGCCATTCATTGTAGAATTGTGTTAAAATGTCTTTTTTATAACACAACAGATATCTGTATTAATATTTTTTATATCATATGGTACTCTTAATTATCTCCCAATATTCGACAACCTATCTGGTACCTCATTACCTTTATTCCCCTGATGTCCAGGTACCCACTACTATTTCTATTGAGAATCCCATATTATTAGCTTCTACCAATAGTTTTTTGGTTATTATGGTTACATAATTCATTTGGTTTTCATAATTCATATGGTTACATAATTCATTATGCGAAAGGTACTAGACGGATGGAAGGGCGGAATATCAGTAGAAGGTCAAAAAATCAATAACTTGAGATATGCTGATGACACTTTAATAATCGCGGCAAATCAGGAAGAAATGAAAGACATAATGAGATGTTTGGAGAAAAAGGCAAAACATATGGACTAAAGCTAACTAGGAGTAAGACAAAAATCATGACCGTAGACAGAGCTCGGAATAATCTTCAACATATTAAAGAAATTGGGGGCTTTGAAGTAGTAAATACTTTATATACCTGGGGTCCCTAATAACAAATGACGGAGGGTGTGACAGAGAAATACGTAGAAGGTTGACTATTGGTAGAACAGCCATGATGAAACTGATAGCAATTTGAAAAAAATTCTAGCATACCAATACACATGCCTCATAGCCACATATGCATCCGAAACGTGGACCTTAAAGAAAGCGGATAAAAATAAACTAGACACTTTTAAAATGTGGGTAGACCAGCCGCATGTTCAGAATATCCTGGATTGATCATCGCACTAACGTATTGATATTAGAACAACTTAAAGTAAAGGATAGATTGCTTAAACAAATACAACAGAGATATTTGCAGTATTTTGGACACACTGCTAGAAGAACAGGCACGATGAAAAAACTGATAGTCGAGGGTAGAGTTGAAGGAAAGACACCCAGGGGAAGATCTCCAAGCCGTTGGGTAGATCAAACAAAAATATTGATTAACCAAGAGTTGCATGAAGGAGAACAACTAGCCCAGGACAGAGAAGGATGGAGGGAAATGGTAAGAAAACTGTGAAGGCCTGACGGTGTCACCACATTCCAAAAGGGATTAGGACTGAGGAGGAAGAATGCATTTGGTCGCATTTGAGACTAAATTTTAGATAAAGCACTTTTTGAATCCACAAAGATAACTGCTTTCTCCTTGCTTCATGTCCTTCTCAATTCACATAGAGATAGCTTTTATATAGCTATTATTTCAGTTGTACGGATTTTTGTGTAATTATAGAGTCTTAATGAAAATTTATAATTAATGCCTGGTATATACAGTCCAAATCCGGATTGGTTACTTTGTGGGTCGATATCTGTATACAGGGTGTTTCAACAAGGTATGTCATGAATTAAATCTCGCATTCCGGGGACAAAAATAAATTGATTGAATCCAACCTACCTTTGTACAAAAGTATACACAAAAAAAGTTACATCCCTTTGAAGTTACAAAGTAAAAATTGTTTTTTGCATTATTGCATTATTTATCATCTCATCCAACACAACATAAACTGGCGGTCTATCATAGTATGTTACGTAGATTAACAGAAATTCCGATGTCAATATACAACTTTGAGACAGAATTAAATATCATCAAGCAAATAGCAGTAAACAACGGATACAACGAACAAACAATTAATAAAATGTTAAATCAAAAACTACACAAGAAAGCCCTGAAATTAGTATTTCCACCACCAGAGAAAAACCAGTACCTTCTGCTCGATTACTTATACAGGCAAAATATCAACTAAAATAGCCAAACACATAAAAAAGAAAGGAATAACACCAGCTCTCCGAACAAATAACAACCTAGGCAAATATAGTAAAATCAACAAGAGCCAAAATAAAAAACGCTTACACAGTGGTGTGTACAAACTTAAATGTGACGACTGCCCAAAAACTTACATCGGTCAAACTGGTAGAAACTTTAATAAACGAATAGTAGAACATAAAAGGTCTTTCAATAATAGAAAAACATATTCTACATACGTACTTTACCTTCTAGGTCACAATCATTCTTTTAATGACGAATTTAAAATTCTTCACATTCAAAATAAAGGCCTTAAGCTATCCTTGTTAGAATCTATGGAAATCAACAAATTAAAAAACACAGATATAATTCTGAATGAACAACTTGAGACAAACAGCTCTCCCTTCCTCAACCTATTTCGTTAGACTATAAAATGTAAACGCATGCCAAAAATAGATCACTTGGGAAAGGAAATCAGCAGAAACAGCTGTAGTGATAAGTTAAAATAAATTTTGTGGAAGTT